TATAAATTTATATAAAACCACATAATTAACTACAAATCACATTAATCAACTAATAATTTAATATAAATATGTCTATTTATCATAAGTTAAGACTTAAAATATATTCTTAATTAATTATTAACTCATGATAATAAAGACTTATCAATCAACTTGACTACTATAAATACTTCAGAATAAATCAATAAAAAATTAATGCTCTTAAAAGTTCATTGTTCAAGCATCTTATGATGTGAATGATTTAGCCCATAATTATTAAAAATATCTTGAGGTATGCATGTACTGTAATGTTTCTAAAAAATATTAATTTCAAACCTTGAATGATTTTTCCTTAGCTAGTCATTCATGGAAATTTTCTTCATATAGGTGCAGATTTGTCTGATTTTTGAGATTTATAAATGTCAAAAACCAAATGTGTAAGATGTGCTATGATATCTAGTTAGGAGTATTGTGTTTTTTGTTATTTTACCTTCTTTTTCCTAAAATACTATGCCTTTGAATTATTTAAGTTGAATCTATTCATATTGTGAAGAAAACACAATGTCATATATAAAATTGGCTCTTATTTTTTTATAAAACTCTATGAATTATACTAGAGTGTTTACAACATAATCAAACATTTTTAAGGGGCATTAACGTAAAATTAAGATCCTTGAATAAAAAAATATTTCCATGATGACTTCATCTACAATCATTTAACCTGTGGATAAGGTATTTGATATTTAAAATTAGAAATGTTACATTTTAATAATGACTTTCGAACAACATGTGTAAAACTCAAATAACTAGATGAGACAACTCATATATTATTTGATCAAATTTACCACAAATTATACCCCAAATAGAGGGGAAACAATTAATGGAAAGCCCATGAGATCTAGAACCATATCCATTTTCATTACTTATAGTTTAAGTACATCATTTTTTCTCGACTTAAGCTCGATCTCTCTCTCTATGGCATATGATGTCACATAGTGGTCAACCTAGCATACTTGTTTGCTCAAGTATGTGCCAAGGTTGATCATCCTTAGCAACACCAAGCAGCCTTCTCTCTTTGTGGAAATAAATATTGCTAAGATGTTGTGTATTCCTCTCAAATAAAATTACAGTGATGTAGGGGAAACCAGCTTACTTCATGAGGCTAAAAGACTCCTCTATTTATAAGGAAGAACCTCCCACATGGCTCATCTTATTTCACCTTTTAATAGGATGGGATTCCTTAACCTTAATGGGACATTTCACCCTAAATAAGATAGTTAAACAACATGGGGGGTGGAAGGAAGTCTCCTTAATCATGTGGTTAAAGTGATGGGATGCTCTAATGAGGCTAATTTATGATTCTTGTATGAAACTTAGGAGTAAATAATAAGAAATGATGTATCAACTAAAGTTAATTTTAATGAAATGGAATGAAAAACATGAAACTTGAGTTTAGAAGGCATATCATGAATTTTGATTTAAATTTACACATCAACCATTAACTTAAACTCGAATGTGATACCTAAGGCATTGCCTTGAGAAAGATATATGTTTCTTTTTGTTGTCTTCTTTTCATTTTCCCTTTTTCGAAGTCAACTACTGCTAAGCTTGATGAGGAAGACTCAAGATGACCTACTAACTGGTCAGCTACACTAGGCCCAAATTTAAGGTCCATTGAAGAGAAGTATAAAAATGAAGAGATGAGAAGAGAGAAACGGAGGACTAGTTGAGAGCAGGGCATGGGGCAGTGCTGGCTGCCCTCCCTCTACATGATTGATGGAGATGGTGGCGACAGTAGCTGCAACAGCAATGGCAGCTGTGAGCTCTCCACTTGTGTGATAGGTAGAGGAGGAGCTAGGTTCAGCAGTGATGGTCTAGGGGCAATGGTACACAGTGATGACAGCTGCAAGCTCTCCTCTTGCGTGAGAGGTAGAGGAGGAGCTAGGTCCAGCAGTGATAGTGCAGCAGCAGTGGCAGACAGCACAATGGTTGCAAGCTCCCCTGTAGCATAACAGGTAGTGGAAGAGACAAGAGTGACACCGTAGCTACAACATCTACAATGGCAGAGACACTGGTAATGGAGTGTGGAGCTGAGCACAGCAGCAGTACCCATGCAATGACAACAGTGACCTGACTTCTATCTTCTAATGACCATGCCCTTCTCTTGAATGATAGACAAAGCAAGGAGTGAAAGAAACAAGGGGGTTTTGAAAATTGAGTTTATCATGATAGCTTATGAAGGTCAATAAGGTAGGCCACCACAAGGATAAATAATGAAGATATGAGATGAATTAAATTTAGAAGAAGTTGACTATTAGGAATGAATGATTTAAAAGAAAAAGTGAATCAAATAATTGCTCTATAGAAAGACCAAATAAAAATCTAACAAGTCCCTCATCTTATTAATTATGCTCACTATGTGTTGGTTCTAATTATGGGCAGAGAAAATAATGTATTAAATTGAAAAGAAAGACAGAAGCCCTTTACATATAGGGGTGAGGAGGAGAGAGAGAAAGTAAGCTAGGCCTATAAATATAATATATATATATATATGTAGCCACCCTCAAGTTGGATAATGAACTGAATTTAGAGGATAATGAGAGTAAGAATTTTACTTATTCTATTTCTTATATATATATATATATACTTGAGATTATGAAGTACATAATTAAATCTAAAAAGGGTGAAGATAAGAGAAATAAAAAATGTGACAAAAGGGAGAGAATGGATCTAACGTAATATAATGATATAATAAATGATAAAATTAGTCCAAACTAAGAGAATCTATCTATGAAAAAGATTACAAGGACGTCCTAGATCTAGATCTTACATAAACCTCGTTGTGTCACAGTCTTAGGCCAAGTGGTGTTTAATCTGCGACGATCTTGATACACTTTAAATAGTCTCTTCTCCACAACGATCTTAGGCATGATAATATCATTAATTAGGCCTTGATTTTTTTCTATTTTTCTTTCGGCTAACCATTGCTAGAGAGATAGTCATAAAGTACCCTCCAAGAGAAGGACAAAAAGCCTTAAACCTCTAGAGAATTAGCTTCCTCTAATATACGGTTATGATTAATAATTGACTATCTTAGTAGATAACTCAGATTCTTCTATGAGTAGTGTGAGGATTAGTCATAAACTAACTTACCGCACCCGTAGTAAAAGAATTGTCAAAATAAGTCACATGAATTTGAAAGGAACTTGATCTTTATATCTATTAGTATAGGAACAAGTTTGGTGCCTAACATTCATGCATCTTGCAAATAGATCAAGCACATACATTTATTGTTGATAACCAAGCCCTTGAAAGAGCAGACAACTTTAATGCCTATAAAATATTGAAGCTGATGTAGGCCTTGATCGACACTTTGTTCTAAAAAAAGACTTTGAAATTAGAGATATCATGTCTATCATCACCCAATAGAATAATATCATTAACATAGACAAGAAAAATGATATAACCCACATCAGTATGACAATAGAACATAATAGGATCAAAGTCACTCTAACGAAGGCCAAAATCCTAAACTAGTATGCATAAATAATTGAACCAAACTTGATGAGACTACTTTAATCATCAAAGATAAGTTCGATAGAGGTGGGATGTGTCTTAGGGATTTCATTCTCAGGTTCGTGCAGCAAAAGAAGACTCTTCATCACATTGGATATAACTCAAGAGGTGGCGACTCATCTCTCCGTGGATCACCCTCTTTTTGATAACAACTTATTTTTCGACTAATGGGAGATGATTTATTTGATAAATTCATAGTCTTTTTATCTAGAATTGTTTAGTAACGAGTTAATGATTGAACGATTCTAACAGCTTAATCATTTACCAGTAACTTATAGAAAAATTATGATTTAATCGAATAAATATATGAGTTTTGATTCTAGTAGAATTCGAACCCTTGCTAGTCACTTGCTTATATAAGAGAGAGTGAAACAAGTACACGAATATTTTTATAAAGTGACGTCATAAGGATATTTCTTCATAAATAAGAGGTATTTTAGATATTTAAATTATTGAAAATCTTTTGAGAAGTTGTGACGTTAGTTTAATCCCACATCAATTATTTCTCAAGTTTTGAGACAAATATATAACTTCAATCCTTGTTCATTACATTTTATCTTCATCTTTATGTGACAACTAAGGATTATTTTATTTTGGATTGAGTTTGACTTTATCTTTTAATCACTTTAGGTTGAGTTTAATCACACTTTAGATAAAGAACATGAATCAATTTTTTAACTAGTAATTGTCCCTATGGACCAAACCACTAAAAGGTTAAGGTTGATATCTCATATTTGAGCTTGAACATAAGTATTGAATTTGATGCATTTTAATTCAACGACTAGAATGTGAACACTAAGGCCTTGTTTGTTAACCTCACTACACCTTATCACTCATCTCTTGATACATAAGAGGTTTATAGACCTCTTATGTACTAGTGAGGTCAACCACCCAAGCTCTACAAACACATGCAAAAATCCTTATGCAGCACCTCACACATGTAGTGTCATCCCAGGCTGTGCCAACTCCCACCACCTACACTCATCTATGAACCTCACTCTAATGGTGTCATCTAACCAAGTCATGCACACCTACACACAGACTTCTACTGCTCCACATATGATGCAACATGATGCATCATGTTAACGCGGTGTCCTGTCACGCTTACCTGTAGAAGTGTAGAGATAAGATGTCAAGCAATGGGAGACTTTGATTTCACCATGTGGCGTGCCAATTTTTGGGCCTTATCCAGTGGGCCTTCTTGAGAGCCCAGTAGGCCCATTGTCTCATAGGTATGAGTCGACCCATGGGATGCATCCCTAAGAAAGTACGTTTTTTTCTTGGTGCTTTTTTTACGTCACCGGGAACGAAGAATGTGGTAGTAAAGAAAGGCAGGGATCTTTTCCCATTTCCATGGCGAGAAAACCTTGATTCTCTCTCTCGATCGACCACACGCTACTTCGCTTGGCACCTCGTCCTTCCCTTCTCATCACGCTCACAGGGGAAGGATGAATGGCCTGAGAGCCATCTGCCGGCCGCCGGCGAGGGGGTTTCTCGGCCCCGCCTGCTTCTCCGGCTGCGGTTGCCGGGCGCGCTTCCTCGGTATCCGTCCCTCTTCTTCGCCATGCCGCAGCCCCAGTTTCGCCCTTTTCCGCTCGTCTGGTCCCGTCTTCTCCCCTCCATTGGACTCCCCAGATCTCCATCGGGCAGGGCAGAGGAGGACGATCGCCAGGGCCTCCAACTGGGCGTCGGAGAAATCTCCTTACGAGACCTTGGGTACCATCATTCGTCCAACTCTTCTGGATTAAATTTCTCTTCAAGCTACTGTCTGATTCTGATCGCCGAACCCCGGATAACTGGAGGAGATCCATTTCTGCTTATAGGAGGAAAAAAAATAAATGATGAATCGTATGAACCGCTCGGCCCTTGCTCCCTGTTTGTGGCCTGTGATCGAGAGTCTTGTTTAGTCATGAAGAAAATAGTTCTTCGCTTGCTTTACTCTCTCCCTTTTGATCGTCAGAGTTGGATCGGGATGCTGATGAGGAGAAGATCAAGTCTGCGTACAGGCGGCTGGCGAAATATTACCACCCAGATGGTATGAATTCTCATTGCCTCTCCCTTCCCCATCTGTTCATGGCTGTCCCCATCTGTTCTTAACACCATATTTATTTTTTTAAGTCAACTCTGTATGCACTTATTTGAGGTTCGACCTTGCTGATCTTCTCAAACTTCTCTGGAATTTGATGCGAGTTCGTCAATTGACATCCGGAAATTCATGGATTTCTATTTTTTTCGAATGTATGGGATGGGATGAGACCTGTCGAGTTGAGAGTGGGCGGCATGAAGTCAACTGATGATCAAGCAGCGTCTAGCACATAATGTGTTTGTGACGAGAAGAAGAGAATAATCCACAGACTATGATCCCTCTTGCATGGCAGATTAAACGGGCCGATTGATGACTCCATGATTTTTTTTGTTCAAAACTTTCTCACTGAGATGAGAAGAAGAAAATAGCATATGTGGATCATGGTTCAATGTTTTGGGCATATCAACTTCTAGATTGATATTTTTGGGTTCCAGTGATCTTCTCTGTTCTTGGGATACGAACCAAGAATTCAAATAGGATGGTTTTCTGAGTTCATTGATTCTCTGTTCATCTTCCTGAATTATTCTGGAAAACATTTCCCTTAGTTAATGGTGGATCTTCACAATCAATTATATTTTTGTTCCAAAGTGTATGATGGGAGGGGGACGCTGGAGGAAGGAGAAACTGCAGAAGCTCGATTCATCAAGATCCAGGCTGCCTATGAGCTCTTGGTGGATGATGAGAAGAGGAGAGAATATGACAGGGACCACCGAGTCAACCCCAAAAAGGTTCAATTTACTCATTTTTGCATTTCCAAAGTCAACGGTATTTTTTATTTTTTTGGGGTTTTTCTTTTCTAGATTAAGAAACTCCCACTCCCCTTCTATGCATTGAATCATCTGTAATGTTTTCGGTGGCTTACAGATTTTTCCAGGACATTAATGAAGAACAATAATAAGAACACTTTATTTGCAGAAGCTCTTGGAAAATTATATTTCTTCACAGAAATTATAACATCTAGATTTTTTTTAGAGATGTGACGAATATCCTGACTCCTCCATCGATCTGTTAGGCTTCGAAAGCTTGGATGGAATGGCTGATGAAGAAGAGGAAAGCCTTCGATCAACGGGGTGACATGGCGATCGCTGCCTGGGCCGAGCAGCAGCAACGCGAGCTGAATCTCCGTGCTCGGCGCCTCGCCAAATCCAAGGTAGCCATTATATGCTCTCCAAAAGCACTTTTGCTTCCCATCTTCATTATTTATTTATTTATTTATTTTAATTTACTTTGTTATTTTCTAAGGGATGAGTGAGTGACTCAGCATGGAATTCCTTGCGTCTATTGGATCCATAAACACATAGATTTTTATCTAATATAAGTGAGATATAGATATTCTAGCCCATAAATCGGAATGTGATCATTCAAACTGTTCACACACATGATTTCCACGGTAAAGAACAAAAAAAAAAATGATTTTGATGAAAACGAGAAGAACCCATCACTCGAATTGTTCTCAATTTTCGTGATCATCTCAGATATGTTCATCATATTCTGCTCCTACCCAGATATGTATGGATTTAATTTAATTTAATTTAATTTATTATATGGAATGGGCATCTGAGGAGGGAAAGCTGGTGGTGGCAGATTGACCCAGAGGAGGAGAGGAGAATCCTGGCCCGGGAGAGGCGGGCGTCCATGGAGAACTTCTCCAACACTCTGAAGCGGCACACGCTCGTCCTGAAGAAGAGGGACCTGATGAGGAACAAGGCTGAGGAGGACAAGCGCAGGGTCATCTCCCAGCTCCTCGCCGCAGAGGGCCTCGAGCTCGACACCACCCAGGATGACGAAAACCTATGAACACCAAAAAAAAAAAAAAAATTAAAATCAATAATGTTATTGGTATAAATAGCTGTATGTATATATTATTTTTTGGGTATAATTTTATTAGTTGTGATTTTTATTTACTGTATATATATATATATCTGATTGATTTACGAAAAGAAAAATATTTATGTTTTTTGTGTCCCCTGTCTATTTATTTTTATTTTATTTTGTGTGACTTTCATGTGGTGGGAAGGGGAGCTTGGATGATCATGGGCTTACGGGTTGACTTCCTTCCTCGACGGGTTTGAGTGTGTAGCGTTAGTCAACGTATCAAGGTCGTGGAACGGAAAAACATTGGCTGGATTGGGCCGGGATTTGAAGGTCAGACTGGGCCTTCTGAGATGGAGGAGGAAAGGGGAGAGTATTCATAGTCACCGACTTCTGGTGTTACCTCGTGCACGATATAACATTACGTTGTATCCTCATCCCCGTTCTCCCAAACCCTACTCCCTCACCCCCGCCTGTCTGTCTCTCCCTCTCTCTCTCTCTATCGCTCTCATCTTGGCGGGGGGACGGGGAAGAAGAAGGAAGATTAGGGTTTCTTGGGATCTCTCCTTCTGATCCTCCTTGCGATGGTGGTCTCCGTCTAGGGTTACCATAACCTCAGATGAGGATCATCTTCTTCTTCTTCAGAAGGAGACCTCCGAGCAGCCTCCTCTCCTCCTCCTCCGGCGCCCCTTTCTTCCGCCATGCCGAACCAGCGCCGCCGGGCGCCGGCAGCGCCGCCGCCCCTCGAACCCACCACTGCTGCCCATCCGCCTCCCTGATTCGGCCCTTCTCCTCCTCCTCCGGCGGCGGCGCCGGCGGGCTGCCGGAGTACGAGATGCCGACGGTGACCTGGGGAGTGATCCAGGGCCGCAAGGAGAAGCTCGTCTCCCGCGTCATCATCTCCGACTACCTCCGCTCCCTCGGCATCGTCCCCGACGAGCTCGAGCCCCTGGAGCTCCCCTCCACGGTGGAGGTGATGAGGGAGAGGATCGAGTTCCTGCAGAAGCTCGGCCTCTCCATCGACGACATGAACGAGTACCCTCTGATGCTCGGCTGCAGCGTCCGCAAGAACATCGTCCCTGTCCTCGGCTACCTGGAGAAGATCGGCGTGCCCAGATCGAAAATGGCGGATTTCATCAGGAGCTACCCGCAGGTGCTCCATGCCAGCGTGGTGGTGGAGCTCGCGCCGGTGGTGAGGTTCCTCCGTGGGCTCGACGTGGAGAGGCAGGACGTCCCCTTCGTGTTGCAGAGATACCCCGAGCTTCTAGGGTTCAAGCTCGACGGCACCATGAGCACCTCCGTGGCATTCCTGGTCGCCATGGGAGTCCGGCCCCGGGACATAGGCCCCATGGTGACCCAGTTCCCCTTCTTCCTCGGCATGAGGGTCGGCACCACCATTAAACCTCTGTTCGAGCTGCTCCTGTCACTGGGGCTGCCGAAAATGGTGGTGGCGAGGATGGTGGAGAAGCGGCCGTACCTGCTAGGGTATGATCTGGAGGAGACGGTGAAGCCGAACGTGGCGGCGCTGGCGAGCTTCGGGATCAGGAGGGAGGCCATCCCCATGGCGGTGGCGCAGTTCCCGCAGATCCTGGGGATGCCGCTGAGGGCGAAGCTCGCTGCCCAGCAGTACTTCTTCTCCCTGAAGCTTGGGATCGAACCAGAAGGGTTTGCGAGGGCGATGGAGAAGCTCCCGCAGATAGCGGCCCTGAACCAGGCGGTGATGGTGAAGCCGGTGGAGTTTCTGAGAGGGAGGGGGATTGCGGCGGAGGAGGTGGCGAGGATGGTGGTGAAGTGCCCGCAGCTTCTGGTTCTCCGAGTGGAGATGATGAAGAACAGCTTCTACTTCTTCAAGAGCGAGATGCGGCGGCCGGTGGCGGAGCTGGTGGAGTTCCCGGAGTTCTTCACCTACAGCTTGGAGGGGCGAGTGAAGCCGCGGCACCGGCGAGTGGCGGAGAAGGGGATCAGCTGTGGCATGGACTGGTTCTTGAACTGCAGCGACAGGAGGTTCGAGGAGAGGATGAGAGCGGAGATGATGGAGAGGGAGGTGCGGGGACCGGAGTTCTCCATGGGAGGACGGCTGACCATGCCGGCGAGGGGGGCGGCGGTGGCGCCGCCGCCGGTGGAGGAAGAGGAAGATGGGGATAGTGACGGGGAGGTGCTCTACAGGAGGACGGTCTCGCTGCAGTGAGGCGGAACCATCTCCCCCTACTGGATCTGATCTCCATTCGACCTGGGTTTGTTCTTGGGGAATTCATGATTTGGGTTTTGATACTTTTAGGATCAGATCTCCTGGGTCGGATTTTTTTTACCAAAAAGTTTGTAAATTGATCGGGGAATTGGTTGATTACATCCGGTGCCTGCCATCTTGCTCTGGTCCATGGGCGAATCTTAAGAACTCTCTCTCTCTCTCTCTCTCTCTCTCTCTCTCTCTCTCTCTCTCTCCCTCCCTCTGGTTCATGAGCTAAATGATAATTCAGGTCAGAGGTGTTTCATTTCCCAAGATCATAATAATGGAAATGTTTATCTCAGATGCCATAATCTTTCGCATCTTTCGATTTCTTTCTCAGACTAAATCAGGAGTTTCACACGATGAGCGCTGCTTATCTGCAATGAATGGTGCTGCGGTTCTACTCTACAGATAGAACAAGATCATGGATGATGTAGAGCAGAAGTAATGACGGAGGATGATGAACTTGGAAAATGGGTGAACAGAGGGCAAAATTGATCACAATTCCCCGGTGGTGATACACTGATCAAGAGTTTACGTCTACAATCGGTTTGAAAGCCGGGCAAGAATCGGCTCAACCAGTGTGTCAGAGCAATCTACAGCCAATGCAATGGAGATTATCTCAGAATCGATCAGATGGGGTTGGCGAGAAGGATGCAACTCCTGGATTCATTAGGGTTTTCCGATTCGGAAGCTTCTGGAAAGAACACAGAGTTGTGGAGGAAAGCTGGCCGTACCAGGATTGGGGTCAGCTCGTCGTCGTCTTCGCAGTGGCAGTGAGGTAGAATTCAAGCAGCTCGGGGAGCTTCTGGCTGTTCGGGAGGATGAACTTGTCGATGAACTTCTTCTCCGGCGCCAACATGACGCTGTACAGATCTCTGTCGCCCTCGGGAAGGCCCTGAATCCTCAGAGACCGGAGGACCTCCAATCGGGGGATCAACCTCTTCTGCAAGCTCAGTCCCAGAAGCACAGCGCGGCTAGAGACGTAGGAAGGGCTGCATCCGGCTTCCTTGAGCAGGAAATCCATGGTGGCCTGTACCCGCTCCCGGGAGAGGTTGATGATGTTCGGGAATCGCCGGAATGCCAGGAGGAGCTCGGCCTGAGACCATCCGAAGGTCCTCAGGAACTCGATCTTAGCGGCCAGATTGGATCTGCTGATGTTGGAGACGTTGGAGAGGGCCAGGGCGAAGATCCCCGTCCCGGGGGAGATCCCCATGGCGCTCACTAGATCGACTAGGGCTTTGATTCTGTCGACATTGCTGGTGACCAGGTAGGGGCTCCGCATCATGATCGTCAGGATCTTCGAATTGGGGATCCCCATGCTGCGGAGGTAGGCGAGCGTGGGGGCGACCCGCTCGTCGATTCTGAAGCTCAGGAGGTGCGGATTCCGATCGATGGCCTTGAGCAGGTTCTGATTGTCCCCGAGGAGGCCCCTCCAGAACTGGATCCGGTCGAAGACGCTGCGCAGGGCCATGGCGGCGCCGCTGCTGGATATCAACCTGGTGAGATCCGCGCCGGAAAATCCGGCCCCCAGCAGGGCCTTGATCTTCGGCTCCAGAGTCTTCTCCGCGTCCGCCACGAGCACGGTGGGGCGCCCTAGCACCAGGCGCCGGATCTGCCCGTCCTCCAGGCCCTGCTTCCTCAGGAGCCGGAGCACGGCCTCCGGCTTCTCGAGGGACTTGATGTGGGAGATGTACCTGGACGCCCTCTCCGCCTCGTCCCTCGAGAGTCCGCACGCGCCGATGAGGTACTCCACGATGAACTCCGGCGATCTCGCCGGAGACGACGACGGCGGCGGCGGCGACGACGAGGAGGAGAAGAACCAGAGAAGGTGGCGAGGAGGCGCCATCAGCCGCCATCTCTGCGCCGCGAGCCACATTATCGATCCACGGCGGTCGTCAGGCGGCGCCGCCGGTTGCGGTGGCGGCGGCGCAGAAGACCTCCCAACCCCCTCAAAAACCCTCTCCCCCAAAAAGCACAGACTCACACTACTTCCAGGAATGCATTCTAAATAGTACCCCGCCCTTCCTGGGCCGGACCCGAAATCTAGGCCCGAGACCTAAACACTAGGATCCGATAAAGAAAAAAAAGATCGAGGACTTCCCCATCTTCCGCCATACCAAAAGCATTTGACAGAGAGGAAAGTGGCATTTCGTCGAACATCTTCCGGGCACAAGCATGTTGCGGCGGATCGCCGCCCTCCTCCGCCATCCACCGCCGCCGCCGCAGAGGTTCTTCTTTCTGCGCCTTGTCTCCGGCAAGAAGGAGCAGGAGGAAGAAGATGACCCATCGCCGCCCCATTTCATGGTGGGCTACCTGGTAGACTCCTGCGGGCTGGCCATGGCAGACGCCGTGAAGGCCTCTCGCCACCTCAAGCACCTCAAATCCCCGCAGAGGCCCGATGCCGTGCTCCGCCTGCTCAGAGAAGAAGGCCTCTGCGAGCCCCACATCCGCCGTCTGGTCGTGAGCTCCCCACGCGTGCTCGTCGCCGACGCCGCCAAAACCCTAGAGCCCAAGATCAGGGCCCTCCGTGCCGCCGGCTTCTCCAGATCGGAGCTCGCCCAGCTGATCTCCGCCAACCCCAATGCGCTCCGCCTGCGCGACGCTGTGCGGAAGATCCAGTTCTGGCGCACCATGCTGGGCACCCAGCAGAAGTTCCTCAAGCTCGCGAAGAACGTCCACCTGCTGAGCTGCAAGATCGACGGGGAGGACACGCCAATCCTCTCCTTCCTGCGCGGGGTCGGCATGTCCTCTGCGGACATCGCGAAGATCGTGCAGCGGCGGCCCAGGCTGGTCTCCAGCAGGCTGAAGAGGATCATGCTGATCGTGGAGCAGGTGAAGAGCTTGGGGGTTTCTCCAGGCTCGGCCATGTTCTTGGAGGCGCTCTCCACTGTGTCCAACCTCAGCGAGGCCACTCTGGAGTCCAAGTCTCGGCTGCTGCGGAGCTATGGCTGGTCGGAGGACGAGCTGCTCAGAGCTTTCCAGCAGTTCCCGATAATCCTGAGGCTCTCGGAGGAGAAGATCCGCAGGGCCATGGACTTCCTGCTCAAGGAGGCGGGGTACGAGCCGTCGTACGTGGCTCGGAGGGCGGTGCTGCTCGGGTACAGCATCGACCGCAGGCTGATCCCAAGGTTCTACGTTCTGCAATTCCTCAAGAACAGGGGCCTTCCTGGAGGGGACAACGACCTGCTCACCGCCATGATGATCTCCGAGAAGAAGTTCATGGCCAAGTACCTCGCCCAGGTCCAGCAGGCCCTCCCCGGCATCGTCGACAGCTACCCGGAAGTCTCCACCATGAGGAACGCCATCTGAGCTCGATGAAGAAGAAGATGCTGCTGCTACTGCTGCTGGTTCTTGTTCTCTTCTCCTCGCCAATCTCTGCTTGCGATCGGCCCAAAAAAAAAAAATCGTCTTTTCTTCCTTCTTCTTTTTTTGCTTTTGATTTTGATGTGGAATGATCGTCCGAAGCATCCAGGCAGAAAATGGCCGCCAGCAACATCTTCTTGCTTTCATTGATCAACGTCTCCAGAATCTACGATCTGGGTCAAACCATGGATCGCATTCGGTGAAAGAAAGGAGAGTTGACCCAAAATATCATTCGGTGAAAATAATATAGCATTCGGGGGAACATATTTGTGTATTTTGACCATAATGTGTCTATTTCTTCCCATTTTTATTTATTTACTTGAGTGGATCAGAAATTTCTTGAACGAATGCATCGCTGCCAAGTATTTGGAATAATCTGGGACATTGGAGGAATAAAATCGAAAAATAAATAAATTTCATCAAATTCAGCTTTAAATATATGTAAATTATATATTTGATGGTGATTAATTTACAGAATTTTTATGAGGAGTTCATGAGAATTAGGAAAAATATATTAAATTATTTTTTCCAATTTTCCAGCTTTATTTTAGGTCCAAAGACATTTAAAAGCTGTAATTATTTAGAATCAAGATGAAATAATCGTAACTAATGATTTCTTAAATTTCTGCATGATAAAGACGTAATAAACATCCAGCATATAAGATTTATTAAAATTTTCATATCATCATAATTGAAATTTATTGTGAAATTTAAAAAATAATAATACTTGGATCAATTTGTTCTATGTAGAAAGTAGATGATTTTCACATAAAATGAATAAAAAATGAATGATTAAAAATAGTTTGATTTTTTTCAGTTATTGATGCAAATTACACACCGTAGAAGTGAACTAAACTACCATCCACTTAACTTTATTATATATATGCCCTTCCACATATTAATTATTATTTTATTTAAATATATACTAAATTTTGTTAAAAAAAGAGAGATCTGAATCAGAGGTAAGAGATTTGAGGCAGAATGTGGTTCCCTATTCTAAATGGATTAATTATCAATAAACTGAAAATTAAGGTACGTCACTTAATAAATAATGTGAAAATAATAAACTAAAAATATAAACCTAGTTTATGTTTTTAGTACAATATGCAGGGTTTTGTGAAAGGACGCATTTTAAGTGTGTATATTCATAAATTACTAACATGATCTAATCGTTGTATAATAAATTACGTAAATTTAAATTTTATAAAACTAAAAAATATTGATTTTGGATTTTTAAAAATATTTAATAATAAATAAATAAATTATAATAGGATAAAAGGTTTCAAAAATAAGAGGAAATTTTTACGTCAATCAAAAGGATTTAATATAATATTTTAAAATATTTTAGAATTTTTCTCAAAGAATATAATTTTGTATGATTTTTAGACTAAATGATGAATATTAAATATATTTAAAAATTTACAAAAAGGAAAAAATCTAGCGAAGATGTCATGATGACACCAGTGTGCACGATGAACACTTTTTAGGTAGAAATAGAGTTTCGCTTAATAATTCTTACATAAGTGATTACTTTTTAGACGATCTAATTGATCAAATTAAGTTCTATAAAAATCAAAAGAATTGTAATTTAATGAAGAAGAGTTTAGAAACATAAAATCATACAAAATATTACTAAATTAAAGAAAAATTAAGTTGGAATCAAGAAAGATAAATTTTTAACTTTGTGGTGGCGATTGTCAAAATTTTGTGTTCAGGAGGATTGTCGTGTGATGTCCATAAGTTCAAAGGCTTTCTTTCAACAAAGAAGATGGTTAATTTTTAGATTTCCTTGCGAAGTCTAGAAATTGATGAAGTGAGTCGACGAATCATCTCCATCAATTGTCACCTAACAAAATAAAAAAATGATAACTTTTGGATCTATGATGGTTGTCACCTAATAAAGATGAGTTAGATAGAGGTGAGGTGTATTTCTAAGAAGCTTAATCCTCATGTTTGCGCAATAAGAGAATGATTTTCATAACATCTAGAATATTTTCAGAAGGTGGTACCTCGTCTTTTAATAAATCGTCCTCTTCTCGACAACGACTTGTTTATCGATCAATCGGAGATGATTTACTTGATAGATTTGCAATCTTCTTATCAAGAATCATTTGACAATAGGTAAGAATGCTCTACGAATCATGTTGATGACATTTTCGTTGATGACTACTAACATTATACAAAAAAATCACAATTTAATCATATAGAAATATGAGTTTTAAATATATTTAGGATTTGAATCCTCATTAGTCACCCACCTATATAAAAAGAGTGACATAAGTATGATAATATCCTTATATAGTGACGTAATAAAGATATCTTCATCTTATTAGTCAGAGTTATTATAAGTCTATAAATACTAAAAACACTTGAGTTAGAATGGTAGCAATATTTAGTTCCACATCGGCTATTTTCTAACTTTTGAGACCTATATTTAGTTATACAATAAAAAAAATTCAATAGTTTGTTGTCTCTCTTATGCATGCATGTACGCACACATGCCTCTTACTAGCACTTCATCACTTGCGGCTCTACTCGATTGTACTTCCAACTCACTTGTGGGCCTGAGTAACTAGCATGTTCCCTCTTTCTTGATATATTTTTATTTTATTTATTTTTCTTTATTTATCTCAAAAAACATGATTATAAAAATTACAGAAAATCATATATTTAACCAATAAAAACTACTTTTCACAATTTAACACAAATATAAATCTATTTATCATAAGTTAAGGCTTAAAATATATTATTAATTAACTATTAACTCATGAAAAAAATATTATTTTAGACAGAATATGATTTCTTATTTTAAATGGATTAATTATCAATAAATTAAAAATTAAGATACGGCACTTGATAAATAATGTGAAGGTAATAAACTGAAAATATATCGGGTTCCGAGAAAATACGCGTTTTTTTTTAGAGTTTATATTCGTAAACCCTGAAATAGAGAGAGAGAGAGAGGAGAGAGAGAGAGACAGAGAGATGCTGGCGGTGGCCACCAGAGCAGGGCGGCGCTCCCTCCGCCGCCTTTCCCTCCTTCCATTGTCCTCATCCCATTCCTCTGGTCTCGCCGGCGAGACGCGGACGCAGAAGCTGGAGCGGATCGCCGACGAGCTCCTCGACCTGAACAAGCTCGAGAGGTACGATTACTCCATCCTCTTCCGCCTCAAGCTGGGGCTCAACCGTTGGGGTCCCGCCGGCGGAGGGGTCCAGACGCCGTCGTCTGGTGGCGCCGGGACTGAGAAGGGAGCGGCGGCAGCGGTGGCGGAGAAGACGACCTTCGACGTGAAGCTGGAGAAGTTCGACGCGGCGGCGAAGATCAAGGTGATCAAGGAGGTGAGAGGTTTCACGGACCTAGGGCTGAAGGAGGCCAAGGAACTGGTGGAGAAGGCACCTGTGGTAGTGAAGAAGCAGCTAACGAAGGAAGAGGCTGAGAAGATCGCCGCCAAACTGAAAGAAATCGGGGCGACAGTTGTCCTGGAGTGACATTGAACTTGGCTACTATCTGCCACCCGACATCTGCGGATCCAGAAATACTATCAGTCCTCTTAGGCTTTATTTTACCTTTTTATTTATTTATTTTCAATTTTATGTTAAATGTGGAAACGAGAACATGTTTGTATCTAAGTTGTGTCCTTGCATGGCTCTGTCGCATGTTTCCCCCTTGACTGGTTCTTATCACTGCTTGAGGTGATAAGAACTGTCCTTTTTATTATTACTAAATGTATCGAATTATTTCTGTTTCCGTTTTTTACTTCTGCGGGCTAGTTATCTGGAGCCTTTCCTGTGCATTTGGATTGACGTTTTTGTCAGCGGTCCAACTCTCACTTCTCTCGGATATAAAATAATTATGTTCTTGGCTGCACATAGTATTCAAGATTGGGCGTACTCATCCGCATTCTTACTTATTTTTTTCTCTTTACTTGCTCAATTTGATATTTCAGGAGTCCTCCACCAGACTCAGTCAAGTCTATCTTAGAATAAGGCGTGCCTCAGCTGCATTCAAACAAGCAGGGAAGGTAGCTTTACTTTTTCTCTCGTGCTAACATTGTTACCTGCGCTCGGGTAGTGGCATATTGTCACAGGGATTCATAGAAGATGCATCATCTCACATAAGAATTATGGACTGTGAGTGTCCCTGGGACAGCCGACCGGCATATTGTCACGTAGCAGATGCTCATCTGCTCATGTCTTTCTGCCGAGGCCTTTTGATTTTGGCTTGGCATGATTCTCGACTGGGTGGTGGTAACAGGTGGCTGAAAATTTATGCATTTTCTTCACACTTGCATGGTCGATTATTGGGCTCACTCAGCCTGCCCGCAGTGACATAAACTGGTGAAAGAAAGCACTGGGGTAGTGACTTGCACAACTAGGCAGGCAGGGCAGGCAGGGCAGGCAGGCAGGCAGACAGAGGCAGGTCCTGACAAGTGAGTGCCCATAGTGGTGGTGTGGTGCAGGTCCCATTTGACAATGCCGTCGAACAAGTCGTGAAGCAGCTGAAAGCTGCCACGAGGGGGAGTACAGGCCGCTGCCCTTGCCCAGCACTGAGACGAGGAAGTTTGGGAGCATCATCTTTGCCGCTGTCACCCTCCCCATGGCAGAGGTCACCGCCGCCCTCAGGTGTTTCTATCTATTTTTCGACTGTTTGTTCTGGTTTTTTGTATGTTGTTCTCCTTTCTGTGCTTCTTGTTTTTATTATTTCTTTTCTCTCTTTCCACCATTATCACAGTTTCTTTATTTTAAAAATATTTTGGCGTGGATATTACTTGCATCCTATGAAGGTCTGTAATAGCATAATTTCATTTGTAAAAAGGTTGAATAGCAATTTATGTCAAGCAATCTTCCATGTATTCTCTGTCCGAAATTCTGTGACTGCTTCACACCAAGGTATTCCTCTGACTGTAAAACAGCTAGGAGATCCTACTTCACACAATTCTTTTTCCGTAATACGGCCAAAGTGTGAAATCATTAACTGTTTTTTAAGAAGTAGAAACCTCAAGTGTCAGGTTAGCAAGCTATTTACCATTTATTAGGTTAATGATATGGTATTATTTTCTCTTGTTACACCTGCATGACTTTTTGAGTAGGTTGCTGATTACTTTATTACCTTATCAAATTATAGCTTCATAATTTTTTTACTGCTTTATTGATTATTTTATTATTTTACCAATTACACACGCATCACTTTTGGTTTGTTTACCTTCATCAGGTTGATCGAGGCTAAGGCAGTAGTTTTTGAATGCGGCCCCAGTTGTAGTTGCCAGCCTGGTTGTGCCAATCGGATATCTCAGCAGGGATTGAAGTATCATCTCGAGGTCTTATGCTTTTTGTTATATTAAGTTCTCTTTCCCTGTGGATGAAGCACATTTGCTTCATGCTCGTGTTGATCTGTATAGTCACTTTGGACAAGTTTTCAGAACTCTGGACACGGGATGGGCAGTTAGATCGTGGGACACCATTCCTTCTGCTGCGCCTGTCTGTGAGTACACAGGGATAATTAGAAGGACCGATGACATGGAGACCGTGTCTGAAAACAATTTTATATTCGAAATTGATTGTCTGCAGACAATGAAGGGTCTTGATGGAAGAGAGGTGATTTATATTTGTGCTTTGATAATGTTGTGCAACCCATTTAATTGCTTTTGTATTTTGACATTAAGGTTGGAAAGTTACTGGGATGAAATAACTCGTATACCATGGCATCATCAAACTATTGTTGGATTTCTAAATAGTGATATACTGTGCAGGGAATTCACACCGTGATGATGGTCATCACAGGAATTTGTAGCTGTTAGGATTTGTAGGTCATGTTGCCTAATGTATTGGAACTCACACCGTGATGATGATCATCATCACAGGAACTTGTCGCTTGAGGGTATATTGGGAGAGAGCATGTAGGGTTCTCTCCCTATTTAAGGGGTGACAAATGTCAATGAAAAAGTAAGATGGTTTCCTGCTCCTCCCCTCCCCTTTGTCCTCTGAAACAGAGGAAAGTTACTCTTCACACCCTCTCTTCGTTTCAACAGCCTTGTATACCATGGCATCATCAAACTAAAATCAGTCATTTATTCCTGAAATGTAGCGCAAGGCTGGCAACGTTTAAAGGTCTTTGTTAGGGCTTTGGACCAGCAGCAGCTCTGGCACCAGTGGGTGCCCATTGATCACATTGAGACATTTATCACCCACACAGCATTGTTATTAGAGAGGGGTTTAAATCATTGATATCCTTTAGATTCTTATCAGCCACCCACGAAAATGACTCAAATCAACGAGCGCAAGGGTGCATTCCCAGTCCCTAATTGCCAAGGATCGGTATATTTTGCGCTGTGTTTAAAATTAAGGCAGCCTGTAGCTGTGGTACTCTGTGTTTATTCCACTGTTCCTTGGGCATCCATTTCACCTGTTAGGTGTAGCTAGTGTCTTCATTGGCTCCCTATCTAGCGCCACTCATGGTTCCTTGGTCACTGCTAGTTTGATCAGGGAAACCATTGAAAACTTGTATGCTAACAATGATGCCTGTGGATTCTGTCAGAAAAAGAATTAGGAACAAAAGCAAAGCAAACTGGGAGAGCTCTCTGTTGGCCCAAAATCATGAAGCTGTTACCAATAATATTACAATAAGAATGTAAGAGTGGAGATGATCCTCCTTTTGGGATGGTCGTCTTGGATTGGTGGCAGAAGGCCCATTTAGGTTTCTTCCAGTTTCTTTGTCAGAAGTAGCGCTTTTTTGTTGTGGTGTTTCTAGTACTTAATCTACCAGGGTGTCTATCTGATTTCCAGAAACGGCCTGGAGATGTCTCATCTCTCATGGACGTTGATGAGAAGAAGCTAGAAAACCTAGAGTTCTGTATGGATGCTGGCTCCGTCGGCAATGTTGCCAGGTTCATCTTTGTCCAGTGCATCCTCAGCTCGCATCATGCCATCAGATTAGCCAAGATAATGCTGTTTGCCGCCGCAGATACGATATCCCCTTTACAGGTGAGCATCCTCTTCCATCCTCTCTCTCTCTCTCTCTCTCTCTCTCTCTCTCTCTCTCTCTGAGCTGCACACCAGAGCATGCTTCCCTGTGCCATTCATCTATCATTAATCAGTTCTGATACAGCTATTTTTTTTCACAAAATCATGTTTGCCAGTGTTTGCCAGTTCTGATACCGGCGCATCCATTCTAAGATAGGTAGCGTGACGACCGACGATCGCCCGCCTAAACATTGTGAGAAAGTAAAGAGAACATGAGATGTTTGTATGACTAATCAGAGGAGCTTCAATCAAGGAAACAGAGGCCATCGTTATTCAGATATGATGACCAGTGCTTTCAGCATTGCTCGTGGACACGGGTGGGGCAGATTATCATGCTTCTAATGAAGCAGCATCAGCTGCAGAGAGCCGGAGCGCTGATGCCAGGCGGTCGCCGCCGCTGTGTACTCTGCTCTCGATGTGGAAGTATCATGGCCCATGCCACATCTCTCTCTCTCTCTCTCTCTCTCTCTCTCTCTCTCTCTCTCTCTCTCTCTCTTGTAATCCGTCTCTGATCATCGCCGCCCTCGTTGCAGGAGCTCACCTACGACTATGCGGACAAGTGGATTCGGTAGAGAAGATCATGGCTAAGACTAGTCCCCTGTTGCGTTGCGCTACAGGGGAGAGAATGGAGAGAAAACATCTCGTCATGGGGATCGAGAGGATAAGAGGTTTCGGCGTATCAGAGAGATTCCCATCATCGAACGAGAAGAAATCCAACGAGAAAAGAAAGAACCAGAATTGCTTGGGCGAGTGAGACGTGCCGGCCTCATATTAGGCTCATTTCACAGCGGATTGGATCCGCCTCAATATTTAACACCATCAGGGGCATTCCTCGCGCCAACCTTCACCAATGCGAACACAAAAACAGATCAGCAGAGATAGGGAGAGAGAGAGAGAGAGAGAGAGAGAGAGAGAGAGAGAGAGAGAGAGGTGCGAAGGAAGTCAGAATAACAAGGGAAGAAGACGTGCAACAGCTAGGGCATTTTAGAGAGAGGGAGAGAGAACAAGGCCTCTTTCTCCGATTAACACTTACAAGGCCCTCGTTTGGAGAGGGAGGCTCATGGCTCACTCCCAAACCAGCTAAATGGGTGACCCACCAGCCTAAGACAAAACATGCCTGAAGAACAAATGGCTTCAATGGTCTGCATTGTGGAATTCTTGCTCAGAGATGGATGACCGTAATTCGTGCGGATTAACTAAAACTGAGCTAGGGATTTCAGCTGTGTGAGTTAACCAGAAATTTATCTGTCCTGCCCATTTCCTAGATGAGTTCTTATCACCTTTGGTCTCCTAGTACTTGAATAACAGAATGTGTTATGTCCTAATCCATATGAGAAGGCATCCAAGGACAGTTTCAGTTCCCCCATTCCTATGACTGGTGAAATTGCTGATTGGAGTGCCTGATAACAAGTTTCGGTAAAATACAGTGGGAACACACTGTAGAGAGTGTTATGTGATGAAAGGTTCCAAGGGACCTTGGGTTGGAGCCATTCTTGGCTTGGGTTGTCCCCATGATTTCCCGCTTGAGAAAAATTCTCTTAGGAATCGGTTTTAACTTGTGCTTTAGATTGTTTAGATTCGATGTTACAGCTGATTACCTTCTACTCAAGAAGATATTATGATGGTGCCTCTGCAGGTTTGGTTACAGCTTTACATCACTATCTATTTTTCAGCTGATTTCCTTCTACTCAAGAAGATAATTACACAGCTGATTACATCACTATCAGTACAGTTCAAACAGCGTTCAAGCAAGAATTTCCCATGGTGAAGGCCTAATCATAGTTTAAATTAAACATCTTTCTAGGAGGGTCTCTTCCTTATTACATGAGCTTAAAACTGTTGAAAATTATTGCAAACTCTCATACATTTATCAAAGTGCTAGAGCAAAGTTTTTAGGTTTATAATTTTCTAATTATGTACTTTGCCATTCCATTGTTTCACCGGGCTTTCAAGCATCCCATTTTTGTATTACTAGGGACAGGTTTCGGTCACTGGACAAAAGACAACACTCAGGGATTCTTCTGTGAGGGCATGAATGAGTTAAAGACCAAAAGAATGGTCCTGTACTGTAGATTCTCCGTTGGAAACTTTTCAGAGAAGCTCCGAATTGCCCAGTTGGATTGCTTATTTGCTTGGATTCCATACCTTGTGCTTCCCTTTCTTCCAAAGTAAGCAATATCCTTTACACTTATACATTGGTAATTCTGTAATATTTTTATTTTTAATTTGTGAACAGAAAATGAACATAAATATATTGTGTTCTAGCTGAGCAGAGCTTAGAAAGCTGCAAAAGTCTTAGAACCATGAGAACAAGGTGCCAATTTTGGCTGGATCCTATTTTTAGCTTGAACTCGATTCTAGTAGGAGCCAAGGTAGCTTGACCAGTGCTCAATTTTCTTTCCACACTCAGCTAATGGGCCGGGCCCTGGTGTTACTGGGCCATTCACACTCATTTTTAGGTCAGCAATCTTTGGACTATGATCAAATCAGGACCATCCGATTTGGGGCCACCAGTACAATTTGACTGGGATTAGTCATTCTAGTTAGTTATAAGGTGGGGTCCTTTCGTGGATAGTCTATTAGTCAACTAAGCAAGTGATAGAGTAAGATATCTAGTTAGGACCATCCTATTTAATGCCGGTACATCTGCCTAACTTAACATTATCTTAAATGTCATAATTAATCGGCAAATAAAGTTGACTTTTTGACTAGTAACATGTAATGATTACAACTGCATTATCTAAAAATGCCCAAGCATATAAACCTAGAGAGAGAGAGAGAGAGAGAGAGAGAGAGAGAGAGAGAGAGAGAGAGAGAGAGATCCACAGAGCCTTGGAATGAACTGTGCAACTGGAACCAATCATTGTGCCACATTGACCAGCAACCTAGCAATGACGAAGCTTGCTCTCTCTCTCTCCCGTCGTCCTCTTCTTCCTGCTGTCACGCCTGGTATGATCCCTCCTCTTCTATCTCCTGTCGCCATTATTGGCTCCTTTGAAAGCTTTTTATATTCCTTTTCCGCTGTAGCTCATTCAAGTGCCGCCGAGGTAGGCTCATCGCGGCTGCGCTAGCTCTGCCAACCACTGGACCATTAGCTAGGGTTTCGCTTTCCCTCGTCTTCTCCTTCCTCCCCCCCTTCATGTCTTCTTTAATGGCCATGGTGGTCCAAACTCAGAGAAAAGGCAAGCGAGAGAGAGAGAGAGAGAAAGAGATTGAACGTTTTTTTTTCCTTTGGGTTGTACTAAGTCATGGAATAGAAGGAAGTCGAGTAAGCCATGCACTCATACTAATATTAGTATTAGTTTATGATTTTGATCTTCAAAGGTCTTGATGACAGAAAACCCTAATGTTGAAGTTGGGCACCGATTGAATCCCTGTCCCATCCTCCTTTTTCAAGACGCAGTATTATAGAGAGAGAGAGAGAGTCTCCGTGGAGGAGCACTGCAGAGAGCTCATCAATTTCTTTATATGAGTTACTTTTAGACCGAGAATGGGTACTTCTCTCTGTTTCCATCTCTCTCTGGCTTCCCCACACCATATTTGGTCTGCTTCCACCTTGCACAGGAAGTAACTAGGGTTTGCCCACTGCCACACACAAGACACATCCTGCGCCAGCCAGGAGTAGCAGCGCTCACTATCTGTGGAGGGGAGGGTTGCGCTTCTCTCTCTACTTCCCATCTTCTGGGCCCCCTGGAAGCTCGCTGGTTTTCTTCTGTGCTTCCCTTTATTGATTTCCCGGCCTTGGGTGATGGGTCTATTTAAGGATGGACTCTCCTTCAAGATCTTGCAGAGGGCTTAGAGAGAGAGGGAGAGAGAGAGGGAGAGAGAGAGAGCGAGAGAGGTTACTTTGCAGCTTCCAGAGGGAAGCTACATTAGATCTCTTAGGGTATTGCTCGAGCTCTAAGGGTTGGTGGAGGAGAGAGAGAGAGAGAGAGAGAGAGAGAGAGAACTCTGCTTAGGAAAGACCTTATTACCAAGAGCTCCTCTCGTAAGGCTTGCTTGTACACAAAGGGCGGAGAGGGGGAGAGAGAGAGAGTAGGGCCTCGTGGGGTTGTTTCTTGCAGCCGCTGGAAAGCCCGCAGCAGCAAAGCTTCGAGAACCCTTCTGCTTTCGTTCTGAGGCGTTGCTCAACCTTGAAGAAGGGAGGGGAAGGGAGAGATAGATAGATAGATAGATAGATAGAACCCGAGTGGCGAACCTCTGTAAATTTTTGGCCGCGTTCTCTTAGAGGCCCTGGGCAACCTCGAAGGGTAGAAGACTTCGCCCCCTCCCGTCGCCTCTCCCCCTACTTTCTCTCCCCTCTGAGAAAAAGCTGTTTAAGGAGCAGAATGGGCGTGGTGAGCACCTTTGAGTGCTTGTCTAGTGTGTGGAGCCACAGGCACACCAAGGAGAAGAAGAAGAAGAGGCTGTTGCAGACTGTGGAGCTCAAGGTCAGAATGGACTGCGATGGCTGCGAGCTCAAAGTCAAGAAGGCCCTCTCCTCCATGAAGGGTACTTCTCCTCTCTCTCTCTCTCCCACTCTCTCTCTCTCTCTCTCTAAATTTTTAAGTGATGGCGACGTGCTGGTTCAGGGGTGCAGACGGTGGAGATAAACAGGAAGCAGCAGAAGGTGACGGTGACGGGCTTCGTGGAGGGCAGCAAGGTGCTGAAGAAGGCGAAGTCCACCGGGAACAAGGCGGAGATTTGGCCATACATCCCCTTCAACCTGGTGGCCCATCCCTACGCCGCCCTCTCCTACGACAAGAAGGCGCCTCCCGGCTTCGTCCGCTACGTCGAGCCCCTGGCGGCGCCGCCAGCCTACGGCGGGGGGAAGCACGAGGACCAGCTCGCCGCCCTCTTCAGCGACGACAACCCCAACGCCTGCTCTGTCATGTAGAGACGGAGAGAGAAGATGAGTAGATAAGAAGATGAAACCATATCTTCCTGCAACACAGCTCCCGGATAAGAGAGAGAAAACAAGCTTCCAGTCCATATCTTTCTCTCTCTAGCCCCTCTTGCTTACACCATTCCCCGCGAAACGCAGTGAGACCCAAAAGTCGCTCTCTCTCTCTCTCTCTCTCCCATCCTCTGTCGATTGCGATCTCTTGTACCTGAGGTCGGATGTCTCTGTTAGCTTCGTGAGGTCTGAAAGCCCACGGCAGCCGCAGCCTCTCTCTCTCTCTCTCTTAAATTCTCTCTCTTGAATGAGACAAATTCCACCGGCTGACATGAACTGCGACAGCAGTAACTCCGGTGCTCATCTACCATCATAACCAGGCATCGTGCGGAGGGGTCCTCTTTACCTTGGAAATTATATAATAGCTCTCAGGGCCTCGTTGAGCCGGCTAATTAGTCTCATCTTCGCACATTGATGGGTATTATACGTAAATAAGCATATATCGATGTATATTAAGAGTAAAATTATTATCGAATAATGATTTAATTGATAAAAATATGTCGCAAGAAATATCAATAAGGTTTGAAAGAGAACTTTAGTCAGACGGAAGTGGATTCACCAGTAAATATTTGGTGGGCCGAGTTTTCCTTCTGGGCTTTAGTTGGGCCGAGCCGTCGGCTTGGGCTTACCCCATCTGAGATGGGCTTGCATTTCGCTTTAACAAATTACTTAGAAGCGGGGGGGGGAAGAGAGAGAGAGAGAGAGAGAGAGAGAGAGAGAGAGAGAGAGAGAGAGAGAGAGAGAGAGAGAGAGAGAGAGAGAGAGAGAGAGAGAGAGAGAGAGAGAGAGAGAGAGAGAGAGAGAGAGAGAGAGAGAGAGAGAGAGAGAGGGAGAGAGAGAGAGGGAGAGAGAGAGGGAGAGAGAGAGGGAGAGAGGGAGAGAGATAGGGAGAGAGGGAGAGAGAGAGAGGGAGAGAGAGAGGGAGAGAGCGAGAGAGAGAGAGGGAGAGAGGGAAAGAGGGAGAGAGGGGGAGAGAGAGAGAGAGGGAGAGAGAGAGGGAGAGAGAGAGGGAGAGAGAGAGGGAGAGAGAGAGAGCGTCTCTCTTTTGTGGCTAGACCCTTTCTCTTTCTCTCTCTATCCATCTCATCTCTAATTGAGGGGAAAAAAAATAAAGAAAAACCCATGGGAGACAATGGCTCCTCGTGGGTGCTCGAGATCCGCACCCCTCATCTTGATAATCGCGTCCACTTATTTTTATATCATTATCCTATTATTTCATGCACATATTACGCCTTCATTCTGGCATCGTGCAGGCGTGGTTCTTAGAGATAACACGGATGAGAAGCCAAGAAACTCCAGATCCGGCAGCCAGCGGATGAACTGGATCGTAGTTCGTCCCTCATTCGTGAGAAGGCAATCGCGATCGGAGGATATTTCTAGGTTGCAGGAGTGTATTTTATGGCGGTCGTCTGAAAGGGTTCTAGTGAGAGAAACGGAAGAGGAAGTTCTCGCAGGGAACTTCCTGTTCGGGTATCAAGTCCCAAGTATATCAAGGAATCGGCTATTCACAGATGCTCAGTTCTTGAATGGATGTTCGAGGATTTGATCCGTGTATCGATTGGCACGGCTGAAGATGTTTGATACAACCCGTGTTTGGGGCGAAGAACCCTGCGTTGATTATTCCGACTTTTATGTACTTTGATGGGCGCTGCATCGGTTAAAAAGGATCGAGGACCAAGTCAGATTCTTCGGAGATTATTTATACATATCGAGAGAGAGCGAGAGGGAGCAAGAGGGAGAGAGCGAGAGAGAGAGTGGAGGAGAGAGGGACGAGAGAGAGCCCGAGGGCCGACCGTCTTGCCTGGCTCGGGGTTGAGTTTCTCGGGCGGGCCCGGCGGCACCGATTCCATAGATGAATCTCAGCCGGGGATAGGTCTTTCGGAGTGGGTGAGTAGGTAGGAGGGACCAGTCTCAGCGGCGGCGCCGCGCCGGAAGAGGGATCGTCCCGGCTCATGGTGACATTCTCTGGCAGAAGAAGAGAGACAACCTCCATTATGTTCCGCTACTCTCTCTATCTCTCTTTCTCTCTCTACATTACTCCTCCAAATTCTGTCGTCAGAGACAGCGTGTTGTGGGGCATAAGAGGGGAGGTGAAGATCGAACCGGTAAAATTGATAGAAAGATGAAAAGGTCATTCTTCTCTCCTCGTCATTACTCTCCGAATTGTCTCGTTGGAGACGGCAGGAGGCGAGAAAGACCATTGGACGGGAGAGAGGAGAGAGGCCATCATGCACGGAGAGAACTCTCTCTCTCTCTCTCTACTCTCGGTAACTCTCCATATTCGTTCGTCAGAGACGGAGCAGCGTTGTTCCGCTGGATGGGAGAAGACCATTGGACCGAGGAGAGGATAGAAACAGGCGGGGCCTGCATCGAGGCTCTCTCTCTCTCTCTCTCTGCTCGAGAATTCTCTCCAAAGTCTCTCGTTCAGAGGCAACAAGCGGTGCAGTTCCGTGCGATAAACTGACAACTCAACTGTGGAGAGTCTAAAAGAGGAGACCGTCCCCTCTCTCTCTCTCTCTCTCTCGCTTTCTCTACTCTCTCTTCTCATGGTAGTTAAGAGGGCTGGGTCTGCGTTTCCACTGTTGCACCGGCGAGAGCAGGAATCCAGGCGCGCGGCAGGGCAGCAGATGGGCATAGGCTGAACTGTCTGTCTCTATCTCTCTCTCTCACTACGTCTTTCTCTCTCTTCTATACTTTCTCGACCTCCCTCTCTCCTCTGTCTCCGTCTTGTCATTACCTCAACTAGGAAAGGAGGCATCATTGGATGCCTTTTCCATGTTCTCTTCGAGAAAGTGTGTCGGGGGGAAACATTAGATTCTCTACTGCATCCCTCTCTCTCTAGATTATAAAAGGTTTCCCTTGTCACGTCCTAGGGCCTCTGTAAGACGGCTTATATATTTACATCCTCAAAAAATACGAAATTACGTAGATGCACTGTATATTTACCCTAATTTTTCACTGAATTGGGTAAATAAATAAAGTCTTCCTGTAATTTCTTAAAAATTATAAATAATGTCTTTCCGTAATCAATAAGAAAGTAGACCGAGCCGAGCCGAGCCGATCGAGTCGGCTCAGCCTGGAGCCGAGCCGACCGAGTCATTCAAGACTGGTTGACCGGAGACCACGCGCTACCTGATCTTACCTAGAGCATTTTGTAAGAGACAAGTCGTCGGCAGATGATTATTGGACCGTTGACTTATTGACAGCTGTCATGAAAATTGCACGTGATAATCACACGTGGCGCTCAAGGATGGGGGCAGGCTCCTTGTGCCGGTCCCGTCTTAGGAATCATGCAGCGTGTTTGCTGGAGGCGGTGAGAGGGGTAAACTGAGACGGAGGTGATGGGATACGAGCGAACTGAAGTAATGACTTCCCCCTTCCCACAGCTCAGCTGTGTTAGAGCTATAGCGGGACGCATTTGTCCAGCTCCCTCTCTCTCTCTCTCTCTCTTGTCTTTACTTCTCTCACTAAGCCATCTCTTTCTTTGCTGAAGTCAGAAGATCTCTCTCTCTCCGCTCTCTGCTTCTCTCACTAAGCCATTTCTTTCTGAGACGGCGCTCTGTTCGCCGAAACCAGAAGCTCTCTCTCTCTCTCTCTCTCTCTCTCTCTCTCTCTCTCTCTCTCTTGCTCTCCCCCTTCTCTCTTTAAGGACCTCTTCCTAGGTTGTGGTCGATTTTTCACGGTCCAGAAGCACTCTCTCTCTCTCTCCCTCTCTAGCATGAAGGGTAGAAGGATGCATGGGTTCATGTGCAACTCGCAAGCCTCGACGGCGGTATGCAGCGCAGCGAACACTCGATCGGTGGTGGCGCCGCGAAGGCTCAAGGGGGTCCTCCTCGACCACGGAGGCGCCGTTGACTTCAAGTATTCCCGCCTGATTGATTCTCGCCGCCCCCCCGCGGCCAGGCGAGAGAAGAGGCTCCATCTCGTCCCTCTCCCCACCGCCGCCGCTTCGCCGGAGAAGAGGCTACAACTCGTTGCTTTCCCCACCACCGCCGCTTCGCCGGAGAAGAGGCTTCAGCTCGTCCCACTACCCACGGCGGCGGCGGCGGCGCCAGAGAGGAGGCTGCAGCTGGTTCCTCTCCCCACGGCGGCGGCGAAGACGGCGGAGAACAGGCTGCAGGTGGTTCCTGCGCCGGTAAGGACCGTTGCGGCGGCAACGAGGGAAAAGAGGAGAGTTGAGAAGGTCACGTTGGGGGAGGCGCCGCCGTCCCTGCGGCAGCGGCCGCCGGAGCATGACTTCCAGGTATGGAAATGTAGATGAGGATCGGAAATATCCTGCGTAGAGTAAAGAGAGATAGATGGATGGATAGATAGAGAGTGGGAGAGGGAGAGAGATGAAAAGAAGCTGTTTTCATTTTCGGCTCTGTGGTCTGATGCTGATTTCAGATCGACTTAACCAAGAGCCCTCAATATAAATGCTGAAAAATAGGATAATTATGACTTCTGAGAATAATATTAATCATTACATCATAATTGTTCATCAATTCAAATTATTTGCTCTCATTATTATCGTGATCATTAGTTAGATGGTCAAACCTACAGTTATTAAATCATGTTATAGTTACAAGGACGCCAATTGGCCCAAATCACTGGGCAAGCTCCTTCATTTCTCCTTCTAATTCTCTTGTTCCTCTCTCTCTCTCTCTCTCTATCTGTGTCTCTCTTTCCCTCTTACATACTGGGCTAGGTTGTGGTGATGAGAGTCTCGATCCACTGCCTAGGCTGCGCGGGGAAGGTGAAGAAGGTCCTCTCCAAGATGGAAGGTGATTTCTGCACTACGTATGAAGAAGATCTGGATTTCCGATGGTAATCTGAGGAATGTTTTCAAAAGTGCTACAATCATGCAGGGGTGACGTCTGTCAGGATTGATCTCGAGGAGAAGAGGGTGACGGTGGAGGGCCGCGTGTCGCCAGCGGCCGTTCTCGAGAGCGTCTCCAGGGTCAAGAGGGCAGAGTTCTGGCCGAGCCTTGACTCGCCCAGGGGCTGAGAAGGGGGGCAGCGAGAGAGAGAGAGAGAGAGACACCTCGTTCATGGGGAACACAGAAAAGTCAAAGCTGTCAGGCATTTGATGATGTAAAGTCTTGTTTATCTCAACTTGGTGACTGCTGATCCCCATGAGTGTCAGAAAATCAAGATTTACCGAGGAATCAAGTCGAAAGAGCCGATCTTTCTTGTTTGAAAGTCAACGATATGTTGACATTTATGAGAGTAGGTGGGTTTATAATATAGACTCGGTGGGTCTTTCTCAAGTCTCCCTCCAGATTTGGTTCCGATTCGGCCAACCTGGTAGCCCATCTCTCCAACTACATCTCTCTCTCTCTCTCTCTCTCTAAATTACCCTAAACAAGTAATCTAGACTTTGACCATTACATTGGATCTAATGATTTAGGAATATTAGACTAAGCTAGGTGAAGACTTTCCCATGAGATTTGAAAGGAATTGAGTTGACATGATTGAGGAATCACTGAGGATTGGGGCGCTTCACTATCCATAAATCAATTAAATGTAAACCAAGTGGGTTCTTACATCACACACAACACCAGTTATATTAATAAGTGAGCCTATTTATGGATCACACCACAATAATACTGCAAAATGAAATACTATAAGAACAAAAATATTCAAATATGTAAAGAAATAGATTATAGAGATAACCCTGTCACTAGAAGTTGGATCCCAATGATGTATAGTTGACTAAGCAATGACTATTGACCAGGTCGTTTTGTTGACCATTAACTAGTGTTGGCCATTGACTGTTCAGACCTAGTTGACCTGTTTAGGTCATTGCCTGAGTTGTATTGGATGGATCCCAATGGGCTCCATATAGTTCAGCTAGTGTCACGTTGACCCAAACCAATTACTAAAATAAGCGGGCCGATATATGGATCACACGACAATAATACTGCAAAATTAAATGCTATACGAATAAAAATATCCAAAAATGGAAAGAAATAGAGTATTGAGATAACCTTGTTGTCAGAAGCTGGATCCCAATGGTGTATGGTTAATTAAGCATTGACTATTGACCCGGTCGTTGTGTTAACCGTTAACTAGTGTTGACGACTGACTGTGGAGACCTAGTCGACCTTTTTGGCCAATCAGTCTGGGTCTTGGCCCGAGTTTTATTGGATAGATCTCAATGGGCTTGATCTGGTTCAGCTAGGAGGTCAGCTAGGAGGGCCGCTAGGCCTGGCCCGAACCAGTTGGTCAAGTTGGTTTCGGCCGGGCGGATATGGGCCGGTCGGGTGTGGTAGATCCGAAATCCGAACCGGTAGGGGGTCTACCCCAAGCCGGGGGAGCGAGTGGCGACGAACGGAGCGGACGGGCGGAACGGTAGTGTAAGGAACGGTAGTGTAAGGAACGGACGGGCGGACGGCGGGCGGTGGAAGGAACGGCGGCGGCGGCGGCGGCGGAGGGACGGTGGCTGAGATCGATGGGGGAGGAAGGGATGAAAGGCGGCGGATGGCCGGCGGTTGATGGCAACGGAAGGCGGCGGATGGTCGGTGGGTCCTTCGTTTCTCTCTCTCTCTCTCTCGGATAAGGCTGGGTCTTGGCCGAAGCGAGCTTCGCCCAACTGTTGGCTGGGTTCAGCACGCCGTACGATCCTGATCGGACGGTGTGGATGAGGTCCACTGCTCAGAGAAAGACCTGGTTGCAGATGGAAAAGAAGGAACGTACAGATAGAGGTCTTCCTCGATACGGTTTGCTCTGCACGCCACCAACCCCACGCCTCCTCCCTCCACCAACCCACTCTCCAGCGACCGCAAGAACGCAACTTTAAGCCTCCAGCTTCCCCGGTGAACCAAGCCTCCTACCTACCAACCCACGGGATTTCTGTATCGTCGGAGTAAGTTCGCCGGTGTGTGCCCTCGGAGCTGCCGCTGCCGCTACCACTGCCGCTACCACTGCCGCTACCACTGCCGCCATCTCCTCCTCCTTGTTCTTGTTCTTGTTCTTCTTCTTCCATGGAGGCATCCCTACGGCCCGCATCTACGCCCCCATCTTCCTCCCCCGGTTCTTTCCACAGATTGGGACTCGCCCGCCCGAGAGCCGCCGTCTCCACCGGGTGAGTTTAGCTCCTTCGCTCCTCCCAACCAACGCGATTCAGGTAAACCAGTTCAGTGACCATGTTTTCTGCTTCGATGGGAAGGCCGTGGATTGCGAAGAAGGGATGGTGTTTGAGATCCTCCTCCTCCTCCTCCTCCTCCTCTTCGGTTGGGGCGGCGCCACCCAGATCGCATCTGCAGGAGGGCTCTAATGGCAGCGTGGCGGCGGTGGATGTTGACGTTACCATCAGCCCCAGGGTGAACTCCCTGAAACCCTCGAAGACCATGGCCATCACTGACCAGGCCACCGCCCTCGTTCAGGCCGGAGTGCCCGTCATCAGGCTCGCGGCCGGGGAGCCCGATTTCGGCACACCTGTCCCCATTGCTGAGGTTGTGACTTACCCGGAAGCAGCTGGCCATTATCTTTCATATTTTCTTTTCTTACTAGTCTGCAATTCTGTTATTGTTCAGTTCATCTGAGCTCGATATTGAGGAAGATGATTAACTCTTATAGGCTTTCTTGGATTGAACCCCTCCGGGAAAACAGCTCCATTTCTCTAGATTAGCATTTGCCCGACAGGCATTCACCATAATCATTCCTCCTTTCATTACTTAATTAATCTGAAACTTTTATTTGGCAATTCATTCGTCTGAGCTGAATATTGAGGAAGATTTTTCAGTTTTTTGCGTGTGGACAGAGCATTTTTCTCGGAATCATTTATCATCAGTACCCTTTTTCATTCAATATTTTGTCCGCATTTCTGAAATTTCTTGTGCTTTGGTTGGGTCTTTTTGGGTTGAATCAGGCGGGCATTGATGCTATTCGTCAAGGTTACACCAGATACACTCCTAACGCCGGAACCTTGGAGCTCCGCGAGGCAATCTGTCATAAATTCCAAGGTCGAACTAGAAGATTTTTCTTGGATTTTCATTCTCCAGTGCCTGGGGAGGGGTCTGACGTTTGGATGTTCATGTAATTGACAGAGGAGAACGGGCTATCCTACACACCCGATCAAATCCTTGTCAGCAATGGTGCGAAGCAGTGCATCTTGCAGGCTGTTCTTGCCGTCTGTTCTCCTGGAGACGAGGTGGGTCATGCTCAGATAACCAAAAGTTTATTATTATTATTATTATTATTATTATTATTATTATTATTATTATTTATGTATGTACAAACATACTTTAACTTTCTACTTCGTTCAGAATTATTCAAAAAATTTGGAGCATATTTAGGGTCTACATTCCTCAAATTACCATCTGTTTAACGCTGAGAGGAGAAGAGATGATATTGTTTCGGTTTCACTTGCCACTCAGGCTATTATAATTCATCATTAATTAATCTAAATCTTTGGATCACATCTGAGGTATTGTTGATCGAATTGAACAGCTTCTGGGCACCTCCTCCTCCTTCTGTCTCATGCTAATGGCCGAAGATAATGTCCTTTCCATGCAGATTCTAATTCATAATTAATCAGAAAATTCAGAGCATATCTGTGGCTGAATTCAGTATAATTGCATGGAAAATTCAGAGCATATCTGTGGCCGAAGAAAGGAGCTAGTCTCACATTCGATTATCCTCCGATTTCCTCTTTATACAGATGGAGATACCGAAAAGCTACACAATCCGACCAGAATTAACCATGAGTATGCTCTATAAAGTCTTCATCCCCCATATCTGCTTTCCGTTCAGGTGATAATCCCAGCTCCTTACTGGGTCAGCTATCCCGAGATGGCTCGGCTTGCTGATGCGACGCCCGTTATCGTCCCCACACACATAGACAACGACTTCCTCCTGCGGCCTGAGGCCCTGGCAGCCCAGCTGAGCGAGAAGTCTAGGCTTCTGATCCTCTGCTCCCCCTCGAACCCCACTGGGTCAGTTTATCCCAAGGAGCTGCTCCAGCAGATCGCAGATGTGGTCAAGAGATTCCCCAGGCTCCTGGTGAGTGGAACCTGGGTTTTCGATGGAAATTTAATTGATTTTTTTAATAAAAATTATTACCTTTTATAGCTTTGAGTCTACTTGTGTTCTTCAGGTGCTGTCTGATGAGATATACGAACATATAATCTACCCGCCCGCAAAGCACACGAGCTTTGCAGCGCTGCCCGGCATGTGGGAGAGGACGCTGACAGTGAATGGGTTCTCCAAGGTGGTGAATCTGAAGCCCTCCATAATCTCACATGATTAGATTCTTCTATTTTTGGCATGGTGAAGGCCCTGTGAGAGTGGGATTATGATGTTGTGTGCTTTCGCAGGCCTTTGCGATGACTGGGTGGCGCCTCGGCTATCTTGGCGGCCCCAAGCACTTTGTCTCCGCTTGCGGGAAGATCCAGAGCCAGGTTTCACGCTCCTGATGCCCTTTTCTACTCCCCTTCAGTTTATCTAATCTTAGCTACTTCTTAATCGCATATAGGAAACTTGAGTACGAATCGACCGACAATAAAATATAGCCCCAGTTTTCCATAGCCGGACATAAGGGCCGACCAAAGTTCAGTTCTTGGATATATTTATGGATGGTGGCGGCTCTGCTGACTTTTGTTCTTCGGTTTCCGTTTTGGTGCAATTGCAGTCAACCTCAGGCGCCAGCAGCATCTCTCAGAAGGTCGGGCTGGCGGCACTGGCCCTCGGGTTTGCTGGAGGCGAGGAAGTCGCCACCATGGTGAAGGCGTTCAGAGAGCGGCGCGACTATCTCGTCCTAAGCTTCGGGGAATTAGATGGGGTCAAGATATCCGAGCCGCAGGTATATTTATTTACAGACATACTCATATAGGTTGGCGTTGCTATTTATGGATATGGGCATTTTAATCCTTTGACCAAAGGCAGACATATACACAAAAGTTGACCTTATTATTTGTGAATATAGGCATTTTAATCCTTTGATCAAATGCAGACATAGACATATAGTCTGGCATTGATATTTATGGATGTAGGCATTTTACTCCTTTGACCAAATGCAGACATAGACATAGTATGGCATTGATATTTATCGATGTGGGCATTTTCCTTTTTGGACCATATTCAGACATACACATATAGGTTGGCATTGCTATTTATGGATGTGGACAGTTTAATTTTTCTACCAAATGCAGGCATAGACATATAGGTTGTCATTGTTATTTATGGATGTGGGCATTTTCATTTTTGGACCAAAGTTTCTGGGGGTTTGAATATAGTTCCTATCTCGCTTCTCCAGGGCGCATTCTATTTATCGATGTGGGCATTTTCCTTTTTGGACCATATTCAGACATACACATATAGGTTGGCATTGCTATTTATGGATGTGGACAGTTTAATTTTTCTACCAAATGCAGGCATAGACATATAGGTTGTCATTGTTATTTATGGATGTGGGCATTTTCATTTTTGGACCAAAGTTTCTGGGGGTTTGAATATAGTTCCTATCTCGCTTCTCCAGGGCGCATTCTATCTGTTCATGGATTTCTCATCGTACTATGGATCTGAGGTCGAGGGCTTCGGCGTTATTAAGGACTCCGAGTCCCTCTGCCGTTACCTCCTCGACAGAGCTCAGGTGGGTTGACCTCTCCGTTTGTCAACGCTCATTCCGGGTGGGCGGCCAGTGACTCACGCGGGTTTCCTCCGCCGCAGGTTGCCGTTGTGCCAGGAGGCGCGTTCGGGGACGACAACTGCATCAGGATCTCCTACGCGGCGGCGCTGCCCACGCTGCAGGAGGCGGCGGAGAAGATCAAGAAGGCGGTGGAGCTCCTCCGGCCAAGCGTTGCCGTTTGAATCTACGGGTTTCTCTGTGCGTGTTCTTCGCCATGGGAATGGCGGTCAAATAATTGTTCTACAGATAATTAAGGGGAGTAGGTTCAGCCAAAGTCAACCATTTTCCAATAAAAGGAATCCGCGTGTTGCGGAACCGGGGCGGGGAGCAATGTTGACCCAAAACTCTGGTTTTATTCGATAATGTGAGATCATTTAGTCGTCCGCCGAGGGCTAGTACTTGGAGTTGTCGAAGACCCAGGGCTCGTGGAGGAAGAGCTCGCGGCCGTTCATCTGGGCGCCGGCGGCGATGTCCTCGGCGCGCTTCCGGGCGACCTCGGCTCGTCTGGCCGACGCGAGCGCCTCCTGAGAGCGTGAGGAAAACAGAAGTCCTGTTTTCTTAGTTCATGAAAAAAAAACCTGATCTTTCTTCTTGAGAAGACCCAGTTGCAGCGCCCGGAAGACGATCGATCATCATCGCCCAGAAGCCCTTCTTCTTCTTGTTCTTCTTAGTTCATGAACAAGGCTAATGTTTCTTCAAGATCACACTAGCGTGGCCGCCAGGAAGCAGGAATTCGGAGGGGATGTTGGGGGGGGGGAGGAAACCCTAGAAAGGAGGGGGGGGGGGTACCAACCTTCTGGCGCTTCCATGACAGGAACTGGGCCTCGCTGATCGGTTCCCGCCGTTGAACATTCCGGCCGCCGTCCTCCGTCGCCGGCAGCCGCCGCTGCAGCTCGTCCGCTTCCGCACCCATCTAGAGAGAGAGAGAGAGAGAGAGAGAGAGAGAGAGAGTCAGCTCTCTTCTGCTATCTCTCGAGAAGCAAAATTTCAAAAGAACCCTCTTTTAACATCACTTACACGTATACTATACGTCATCTATTGAATTCACGCGTCCAAGTCATGTCGGTGGTGTCCATGCTTTTGTGTCTAATTACTAAAATCACCCTCATTTCCCTCCGCTTTCACAAGGGCAGAGCTCTCTGGCTGTCTCCGTGCTCTTTAGAGAGAGAGAGTAAGAGCCATCTTCTTTCCGGGCTTTATTTTGCGGCCAGAATCTACGATCACCGAGGCCCCTCAAGAGCCCATCAAATAACTGTTCCAGCAGGTGAAATTAAGACCATACTAATAATTATACATCAAATACAAATAATTATATATATTATAACTATATAAAAATTTATTCCGTATACATGATTTTGGAGGGCACGGTCTGGTGGGGGGGTTAGCTAAGTGCCCAAAGATTACTGGGTGAAACAGAGTAGATTGCTGATTCATTGAGTTGGACGGATGTTCTTGCCATAGAGTCCGAGGCAAGCTTCGACGGCTTCGGCTACAGTGAGGAAGAACATCTCTCCAACCTTGTTGGAGAACTTGGCCAGCCTCATCTTGTGGATCACCTGCCATCCCGGGTTGGCTATCGAAATCTGTAGCAAACTCCTCAAAAATAATTCCCGGGTCCTGAATGAAATCCGCCATATCTCTCTATAGCGAGAGAGAGAGAGAGAGAGAGAGAGAGAGAGAGATCTTCTGGGTTTGGAGGGTTGAAGGGTCATTACTCACCTGTAAGCCATCGGAAAGGAGCTGCTTTTGGACTTCTTCGAGGGCAATGAGGCCAGTGGTGTCGATGTTCATCACCTCTGTCAGAGGAATAATTTTCAGTCAAATAAGTGAACTTTTAAAGAGAAAAAATTCATTACTTATGGGGCTGCAGTTGATGAGGCTCACTGGACATGTCGAGGACGACCGCCTGGGCCCTCTCTTCGGGGTTCTCCTCCGTCATCTCTCGATCTTCTTTCACCCATCTCAAGATCCTGAAACATGATCAAGTGAGAGAAGATGGACCAAGATTTATCTGATTCTTCCACTTTCAGAGAGAGATTTAATGGCCGAATCCAGAGAATTTACCCCAACATTTGTCTCATCCTTCTGCATTCATCTAGATTCATATTGGCCAAATTCTCAGCTTTTTGGCTGTTTTTTAGGAGGTGGATGAGAGAGAAGCTGACATTGAGTCAGATTCTCTCATCCTTCTGCATTCATCTACATACGTATTAGCCTAATTCTCAGCTTTTTGGCTGTTTTTAAGGAGGTGGATGAGAGAGAAACTGGCGTTGAGCCAGATTCTCTTATCCTTCTGCATTCATCTACATACTTATTAGCCGAATTATCAGCTTTTTGGCTGTTTTTAAGGAGGTGGATGAGAGAGAAACTGGCGTTGAACCAGATTATCTCATCCTTCTGAATTCATCTAGATGCTTAGTTGCCGAATTCTCAGCCTTTTGCCTGTTTTTAAGGAGGTGGATGAGAGAGAAACTGGCGTTGGGTCAGATTCTCTCATCCTTCTACACAGCTTTTTGCCTGTTTTTAAGGAGGTAGATGAGAGAGAAGTACCTCTCTCTGACGGAATTGGCGTTGGCAAAGCAGATGAAGGCAGAGTCGATCCGAAGGGTCAGCAACTTTGGAGTTCTAATCGCCATGGGGAACTGCCTGACGTTGCAGAAGGTGTTCGTCCCCTCTATCCTTCCCAGCACCTCAATCCGAGGTTGGAGAGAGCCCAGTATGATCTTGGCGAAGGAGATTATGACCTGAAAAATTTCCCAACCCATTTTTTTTTTACATAATTGTGCTCCTGATGGGCATCCAGATGAATTTATCCATTCATAAAAAAAACTATTACACATTTTTTCAAAACATTTGATGTGATTAAATGACATGAAAATTTCCCAACCCATTTGAATTTTTACATAATTATGCTCCTGATGGGAATTCAGATGAATTTATCCATTCATAAAAAAAAACGACACATTTTTTCAAAACATTTTCTGTGATTAAATGACCTAAACAATTTCACAACCCATTTGATTTTTTACATAATTATGGACCGGATGGGCATCCAGATGAATTTATCAATTCATAAAAAAAAATATAACAATTTTTTTCAAAACATTTGATGTGATTCTATATTCCTGCAGCCATATCTACAGACCCAGATATGTCGACTAAATGCAGACATTATTTAATTAAGTCTATATACGCATATTACCCATAATTAAATGCCCATAGAATCACATTATCTGATTATCTCACTACTAAAAAAAATTACGATTAAATCGACCATCCACAACACGAATAAGTATTTTATACAGGAAAAAAGATTAAATCCGCGTAACAATATACCTATTTTCCCATTATTTAACTAATTTAGTAACCAAGAATAAATTCGGTATGTAAGAAATGCATGTGCTATATGTAATCAACTGGCCATCAAGTCAGAGTATATAATTAGTTTATACACATAAATAAATTGGCATTTCTCTGGAAAAAAAGCATGATATATTTAGGATATTTTAAAAAAATCACCATACCGCAGTTAGAAGGCCAATCTCCACTGATACAAACAGCACGCCGAAGAAAGCTCCGAGACACGCCACAAAGTCTAGTTTGTCGACTTTCCAAATTCGGAATGCTTCTGCAACATCGACCAGTGAAGGTAGAGAAGCGAGGATTATAGAAGCCAGGATGGCAGTGGGCGTGAAGTATAGCAGCTTTGTGAGCAGCTCAAGGGATATGACCACCGTCAGAGACATGATGATGTTGGAAACTGCAGTCTTGCAGCCTGCACTGAAGTTCACAGCTGTTCGAGAGAAGGAACCTACACATGATTTAATCAAATTAAATTAAATTAAATTGAATTAAATTCAGGAAAATGATTATTTGTGCAGCAGCAGAACGAAAATTTCTTTTTGCTGTGGACGACATCACAATGAAGAAAAAATTCCATATTGAAAAAATTTATGATTCATTGATTCTATGAGTCCCTTTCCTATGATCAAAATATTATCAGACCATGTAAGGGTTATAATCGAGAAATATAGATAATTTTTCAGTAGATTTAGATTCACTAATGGAGTTTCGGCCTGCATTGATTTCCCCAACGGATAAGCAGCAAATAATCAAATGCTTTTATTGGAGGGAAAGTTTAAATTATTTTTTTCTTTTGTCTCTTGATTTTTAAATTTTCCTATTCAACAGATACTTAAATTTGGTGCTATTTAAAGTAAAATATTTATATTCGATAATTAACTCACCTTTCATAAAACTTAGGAAATTTCTTTAAAAAGGCTGAGGAACTTTGAATTAGTATAAAATTTATCTTTAACACAGTTTTTGATACTACATTAAAAATGAAAACATTGGAATGAGCTTATTCAATCATTTCTAATAAAATTTTTGACAGAATTTAAAGAAGCCAGAATCTGAAATTTATTTCTTTCAATAACCATTACAAAAATATTTTCACTGTAATCAGAAGGCATGAATTAATTCGGCTAATAAGTCAACTTTAATAAAAAAACTAAATGTTATCTACTATTCACTTTAATAAAAAAAATACAGAGAACAATAATTAATGTTAATTATACTTTAAAAACCTGATGTTACTCTAAACATTAAAATGTCTTCTCAAACCTGTTGCAACATAACAGGATGACATCGATCCAGCAAGGTTCATGCAGCCTATTGCCAACATCTCTTTGTTCCCATCAAGGTGGTAACCTTTCACTGAAGCAAAGGACCGGCCCACCGCAATCGCTTCCTGATTAGTCAGTTCATTGTTATATAATTAGCCTGATAAATAGTCTGCCAAGATTAGGCAATTTTACATCATATTTATAATCATAGTTTCATTTTTATAATAAGCAGTATACGACTATATTTCTGATGCTATTTTTCAACTTAGGCTGACTAACCGTGAGTGATATGATTGCTGAAATAAGACCGATTTTAGCAGCTTCTCCAACAAATGACCCGCTAAATTCCAGCTGTTTGACCGAGCTGGGGTTGAGGCCGCCTTCTACATGTTTGATGATCTTGATCCCATGCTGATCGGCCCTGGTGAGCTTGACCATCAGAGTTGATAGAACAACTGAAACCAGAGGAGATATAGCGGGCAGCCAGAAGAGCTTCCGGTTCCTTCTTCCCTAAAGAAAAACGTTTAAAAATAAATAAATCAAGGGAAACGAACAAAAAAAAAAGAATGTATTCACAATCAGGAGAAAATACTTACAAAGAACCTTGTCGTTAAGATGAAGATTAAAAATGAGCACCCTATGAAAAAATTTCCCGGGTGCATAAACTGTAAAAAATCAGAAGTCATTGAATGAATCACAGAACCTTGATCCTTTTGCCTAAATATCTACTGCTAATCAATAAGGTATTCAACTAATTAAAACCCCAAATAATTCCCATTAAACTAAAGATAATGCATCCATATTTTTACATAACTATAAATTATTGTGGTGATACACTGTGGGGGCTTACGGGCTCATGGATGTCGGAAGACACGGCACTCAAGACTGAAACCACGTCGGTTTTGTTCGTGAAGTGGGAGAGGCCGAGCAGACCCTTTAGCTGTTGCATTCCTATGATGATTGCGGCCCCCCCCATGAAACCCACGAGGGCAGCATGAGAGAGAAAGTCCACAAGGAAACCCAACCTGCAGATCACAAAATCAGACCAAAGAATCTTCACTTAGATTGAATTCACAGAGAGCATCTGATTCAACTCGTAGGACTTGCCTGAACAACCCAAAGGCGACCTGGAACAGACCAGTGAAGAAGGTCGTAGTGAAGACCAGCTTCCTGTAGGAAATGGGATCAGCGACGGGATCCACGATCTTCTGTATCATCGAGGACAGGAGCAAGGAGACGACGGCGACGGGGCCGATGGCTATCTCCTTCGAGCTCCCCATGACAGCATAGATCAACGGCGGCACAACACTCGTGTCTATGTTTCACATAGCCAAGAGAAAATAAATTAGACGAAGAAAAAAAGACAATTCTCAGTGGTAATACGGAAAGAACCCAGTTTTCATGAAGAGCTCAAGAGCCCACTCAGGAGACGATGGAGATGTTTATCGTCAAACCCATCATATTTCTTTATAAGCAATATTTGAATGATTGTGACCAGTGGAGTACAATAGATACATCTATATAGAGGAATAAGGAAGACACTGAAGAGAGGAGGGAGAGGATAATGCCTATACGAGGAAATAAAAGGGTGGTAGACTTACAGAGTCCATACTGAGGATCCAGCCTCGCCAGATTAGCATACCCAATGCTCTGCAGAGGTTTTAAATCATGTTAACTTCACAAGAACCGCCTCTGCTTTGTTACAGGAAAGACTAAGATGACAGAGAGACTTCAAGTGAAGATGGTTATTTATTGGGGCAGTACCTGCGGAATGCCGAGACTTGCCAGGGTCAAGCCAGCCATTAAGTCACTCCTGAACATCTTCCAGTCGTATCTCCGCCCCCAGCTGAGGATAGGGAAGATGGTCTGGAGCGCTCTTACCAGGAGCCTGAACGGTGGGGGCAGCTTCCCCCGTCGAGGCAGCACCGCCTCTCTCACCGAACTGGTGAGTTCCTGCCATAGTCCCGGCGGCTCGGGGGAGCTCAGGACTGAGGGAACTGAACCAGTCAAAGGAGGCTCTGAAGAACCCATGGAGCCCTGAAGTGTTTGGGGGAACTCCGAGAGCTCTCTGTGGCTTAGTAATAACAGTTTTTTGCTGCGGAAAATATTCTCCCCGTTGAATGGACCATCAGAGAGACGCCATAGAAAAGGGGAAAGAGCATTTCCGCTGCCGCAAGTTGACGGCCATCAGGGACTGCATCGTTGAAGCCATCTCTGGGGGGTTGAGGAAGGACCTCGAGGGCACGATATATCGGGGTGGAGATTCCCTCCCATCCAATGCACCACCAAGGAGGAGGGGCCATGGAAAAGGGGGAAGGCCATTTCCATAGCTCCACATTGTGGGCCATCAGGGACTGTTCCGTCAGAGCCATGGCCAGAGGAAGCGAGGAAGGTCCTCTGAAGTTGACCCGTCCTTGTCTATGGTGCCCAGCTGATACAGTTTAGGTTCTCTTGCTTGCACTGAAGACACAGGGCACTACGTTGTATGTAGTCGACTCCTTCTGCAAGAAGAATAATTTGTTTGCATGAATACCCATATTTTAAATTATTTGTCCATATATGCTAGTACATTATTATCTTTGAACTATATACCTCATTTTCTGAACGTCTTCTTTGCCACTATTTTCTGGCATCAGTTCTTGAGGGCTTTTGAGAACGAAAAAAGGGTATATCTAAATAAAACAAGCCACAATTCTTTTGAGGAGAGATTTTCGTTCTATATTCATTCGTTGGTTCTTCTATCAAAGAGAGTTTGATAATTATTCCTACCAAAATAAAGATGCCTAGGCACTGAAACTCATCATCACCGTTGTTGTTCTATTCTTCTCTCACATTATATGAGATTTAGAAGCCAAAACCAGGGGAGAAACGTAATATTTCTCCAAATTCAGACTCTTCGAGTAGCACTTTACTAGATTTCTCAACTGTTTAGATTTCAGTGGAAAGAGGGAGTTGGAAAAGAATCATCTACAGTTTGAAGTTGATTTGAAAATATTCCCCGAAATGCCTTGTAATAAGGTTTTTTCATCAAGTTCGTTACTTGAAATCAAGTAATTCTAGTCATCCACGTGCCTTTCTCCTCTAAAGTAATGATGATTATATTCCTTTTGTGATAAAATTCATCTTTTGCGGCTGTCTCAAGCTATTATTCTCTCTCACTTGATACACTGAACGTGGACAAGTTTAGCCGAAAAGGAAGCTGTGAAACAAGAAGGGCTTTATTGTCTGTGGTTGTTCTTCCCGCTGAAGAATGGTAGAGAGAACCCGACCCTTTTAATAAAGGCGCCGTCTTTTCCCTTTGGTTTCCGACGGGCTAGATGATTGTAAGGTTGAGGCGATCGGGGGACAATACTTCATCTTCGCTCCTTTTGGATGCTCACAGTAAACATCCCATTAGTCGGATTCTTCTTGGATGAGGATAAATTTCCAATTACAGCATTATCGAAAAAAACCAGCAAGATATTGCCTTTTCCTTTTCTAGATAGTTTTAGAATAATGTTCTTTTAATACTCTTCACTAAGACCCGTCCCACTTGTCATATATATGAAACTTAACCACTGGCTGGATGGGCTTTTATGAAGATCGAAAATTATCTCGAATATTTTATGGCATTTACAGAATAATATTTTTTTAAAATTTGGGGTTTTTGGCTTCTTGAGGAATCATGCTTAATTCCATCTGTCTGCCTCTTCCCTGTCACTCATTAACCATATAGCTAAAATTCGTTCTTCGGTGCCTATTCTGAGAGGTCTTGGCGATCCATAAGCTTTGGAATTGATACAAGCATACCCACAAAAGGGAGAAAATATAAAATAGTTCCAACTAATGACCTCCGAGTATAATATTTTCTAATGCTTATTACAAACTCTTCAAGGTTCGGAGTCGATTAAAAAATCCGCAAATTCAATCCATTCTCATATCTACTTTGAAGGTGAACTATTTTCCATAAAAAATAACGTATAAAATATTATTTTCCCCAAGTATGGTGTTTATGTAAGTTGGTTGATGCCATATCCCTCTTATCTCCGACCCAAGTGCTCACATTCGAGCAGTGAAGGCCTAGTTGAGATCAGTAGCTAAAATAAAACATACATGTGGCTGAACTTAAAAACTCTTACTCAAAGGTCTTTTTATTCTTATTTTTGGATGAATGCTACCTGAGTATATACATTAGCCTGGAGATTCCTCCATTTGCTGAAATTTCCAATGTTTTATATTTTTTATTTTATGATAAATGTTTTTGATTCATGGACTCTCCTGTGGGATTTTCCTGTGAGAATACTTATCATGAGTTGCTCACCATTTTGAGCATCCTCGAAGGAAGAAGAATCTTATGCGTGGAATCAGCCTCGCCTGATCAGTCGCCTTCACCGTAGAGAGAGAGAGAGAGAGAGAGAGAGAGAGAGAGAGAGAGAGAGAGAGAGAACTCGTCAACCAGCCTGTGGGCTCTTTCGATAATAGAGGTCTCACAGTCGCACAACTCTGGTGTGAGGTTGGGATTCATGAAAGGGACCGGGTGGGCAATTCTTCTTTATAAGATTCAATGCCTCTTCATATGGCATCGTGGGGGAAACTGTAAGATGAATGTATTACATCATCCAAAGACCAAGAAGCTGTCGTCCACTCCTCGCAAACCCCTGGCTGGCCCCTCTTGTTCTCCATTATTGACTTGAAACCTCCGTGACGCTCCACCATCTGTGGAGGCTGCCATCGGCTTGCACTAGTTTTCCCATACTGTGGTTCTTTCCTGGACTGTTCATTTATGATGAGATTTAATAGCTACTGGCTTTCCCATAGGCTGCGATTCTTTCGCTTGAATGATTCCTCCTAATGTATTCTGTACGTTTTGGATTGATTGATAGGAAAAATGATGCTGAACACCCACTCAAAATATTTCGAGTGGAAATACATGTAAATCCCATTTTCCATCAACCTTTTTGGAAGCATCATTCTTAGTCACCAGCTATCAAGATGGAGTAACATCTTCAGAAGAATACAAGATTCACGTTTCTTGTTTGAATAGGGTATCTGGTTCTACATGAATCTTTCTGGCGAAGCCCAAAAGGATGATTCCAAAGAAACCTAAATTTTTAGAGACAAGACCAATTGTTTTCAGAATCTAATCATCTATTAGTGAGAAAAAATAGTAAAGCATGGGTTTAGAATCATAAGTAGGAAAAATTAATGATCCATGAACTATCATATTCTTGAGATATAAATGGATGAATAAAACGTTGATCAATTCATCACCAACATTTGAAGCTAATTCTAATAAGACATCAAGAATATGTGCTGCCATCAAGCTTTACTTTGTGTCCTATTTATCATATTACAAAATCACATTGTGGGGAATCTCCTTGATTTGCTTCCAAGCTGAAATGCGAGAAAATAGTAAAGCCTCTTAAGTTTCAAATGAAAATTCCAAGAGAAAATAGGCAAGTTTACAATTTGATTTTTCCATTGACTAACTATATTCGTTATTTTTTCACATAAAGCTGTATTTATTGCTATAAATAATGGTTTAGAATATTTGGGTTTTCTCATAGATTGAGTAACCAATGAGAGTGCGACTAGGCTTTACAGATTGATGGAGACGTTATTGTTATCTCCCTCTCGGTTTGTTCATCATTACCTAAGAATCATTCTTCAGATAAAGACATCATCGTGATTGAGAATCGGTTCGTTTTGGAATCCATTGATCTGAGTGAAGTCATAAATAAATATTAATATAGCATGTTTATTTAATTGCCGTGCAATTGGAAAAAATCCCATCATAAATTATTACTTCTATGGTATAACTATATATGTTTCCAAAACATTATCTTAAAGAGTGCATGCAGTGTTAAGGTGTCATATAAGATGCCATTTAGATTACCAGTGGACTATCTGGAGGTACAGAATGACGACTAAATGATTTAGGCATCAACTAATTGAGCCCGCTATACCTTCGATAACCTTGGAGTCTAGAATGAATTTTCTCTATGGATGACAGCTGAAAACAGAGGTGAATTGAGGCTTACTCTTCCAATTAGTTGACGCGTTATTGCAAACAAAAATATAATATTTATACTTATTTCATTTGACTATGCTTGTCAAGATGCAAACATTTAATGGCATCTCATTAAAAGCTGCTGGATTGAATGGTTTGGGAACTTGGGTCTCTTGTATAGATTTTGATGCAACGTGGAAAGAGAGACTTTAATCTGCCTATTTTGTTTTTATTTAGCTCCTACCTTCTATATCTCTATTCCTTCCATGGCTTACAAACTTAGTATCAAAGTATAGTTAAGTAAAGACATCTTCGGGATTGAGAGTTCTGTCATTTAATGGTAAATCCACTAATAGTGAGAGAAGTAAGATAATATGAAAACATATGGTTATCATGTTATTAGGGTAATATACATTTTCTATATACAACCAATATGTCATTACGTCTATGATGTGACTAAAGCTAATGCAGAAAATTTTATATTAAATAATGGGTGTAGTGCTACGGTGTGACACAAGATACCATCCAGATTATTTGTGTACTATTTGGAGTTACTAAATTCGATGTAAATTGGTTCTGCAGGTGTCAACTACGGAGCTAGCCGCATCAATGGACAGAATTAGAGTCTCGCACAGATTCATTCAATGGATGATTGGTGAGCATAATTGTAGAGTGAGACTTACTCTTCCAATTAATTGACACATTAGTGGATATAAGACTGTGTACCGTAAGAGTTTAGTTACAGCCTACATGAAAGAAATAATAATGGGCTATTTCGTAGTTAGAATATTGAAGTTGCCAATAGGTAGGATATTTATCATATTTAAAATTTGATCAATCCCAACTAAGTATTTGTGAACTATCAAATCAAGTACCTCTTATTCGCAAATTCACAAATTGACAGATAGAATGAGGAAGAGGCTTAACGGAAGGTGCTGTGAAGAAAGAGCTATTTCTTATATCATATCTTAAAATCACCTATCAGTACAGTATATATATCACGTTTAAAGGTTTTTTAGGTCAGACCATTGGTATGCTGAGTCCCGTCAGGGTTTGGTGTTTTGGCGATATACATTGTTTTTGTAGCTCGGTGACGAAATCACTGAAAAATATATGCAACTGTGTTATTCAGCAGGTTTCTTATTCGCCAACAACTGCTTGATTTGGTTGGCCTAAAGTCCAGAAAATCTGGGCTCAACGGGACCGAGCTTCCAGACTACTCCCAGTTAACACCCGAGGAATAATAATAGATAGAGAAGAAACATTGTCTTAATGGCCCAAATAGTTGTGAACCCCGGCCCGGCCCGGGGATTATTTCGGCGTTGGCAGTAAAATTCGGCGCAGACAACTTTCTAGGCCCAGATCAAATATGATTCAGGCCGGTTCCGGGCTCTGATAACGTGTGCCCTAGACCAATTCTCCGCTTCACGTTTTCTCTCTCTCTCCTCTCTGTCGCTGTCTCCGTCTCTCTCTGTCTCTCTCTCCTCTCTCGGTTTCTCTCTCTCTCTCTCTCCTCTCTGTCGCTGTCTCCGTCTCTCTCTGTCTCTCTCTCCTCTCTCGGTCTCTCTCTGTGTCTCCTCTCTGTCTCAGTCTCCGTCTCTCTTTGTCTCTCTGTGTCTCTCTCTCCTCTCTCGGTCGATCCTAGCCGTGGAGTGGACCCCGTGACCCTCAGCCAGCTCTACAAAAGTCTCTTCCCTCTCCAATCAGGGGGCCAGACCCATCTAAAACTCTTAACCCTTTGAACCGCTATGATGATCTCATCTGGGTAAGTTTTAGGCTTCAACGGCCTAGTTTTTTGAAGTGATACCGACGCTGGTGGTGTTGCTGTTTATGAGTTGCCCACGCTCCAGTTATGTCATCTTTACTGTTATAAGATCTAAAAGTCAACTTCTTCTCAAGATATATGCTTGAACTGTCCCACACACAAGACTAAAGGATATTGCTATTTATTAAGTTACATAATCTTTTTTTATTCCGTTATGGTCGTGATAGATCTGAGAATTACGAATAATAACAATTTATTACCTGTCTTGAGTTGGGTGGCACAATATTACAGATTAAATGGTTCATAACATATCTTCAAAGAGGTGCCAGCGGATGTGATCTGGTAAGCCCCAAAGCCTGGACTACTCCGACCAACCCTTTCCTAGGCTTTGGCCTCGAAACAGAAGATGACAAATTTGCGGCTTTCATTTTACGTCTCCCTGGCCAAGCGTCCCAAAGAGAGGCATGCCATGGATTGGCGGGGGAGACTCGGGCTTTACAGAATAGCCCTTTTTCTGGCTTGAGGTGGGCTTAGGGATTATATAATAAGTATTTTTCGATGGAGGTCGAGCTTCATTAAGCCGGGTCCGTCTTCACCTGCAAACATAATATTCAGTTATGGCATCCCATCTACCGATGTCAATGAGAGAGGCAGCCTCAGGGCTTGGCTTGGTGCGGGCATGTGTTTTCCTGGAAAGGCTGGTATCAGAGAGTTTTCTTTTCTTTCTCCCATTTCTGGATTAGGGTTCATCCTCTATCAATTAGCTTTTTTTGTCCAGAAAAGTAGTCAAATTCTGATTGGATAACCACCCGGTTTTTAAAACTTCAAAATAAATTCATTGAACCTAGACATTATTTGAGAAAAACATCAGCAACAAACCATTTCACAGAGAATTAAAATCAATCTGACACAAGAATAAAAATATTAAGTTTTTCCTGATTATATGTTATTAATAGAAAGGGCTTACCTCCATTGCCGTACAGGTTGTCTAACATTATTTTTATTCAATTCATAAATCTGCATAGATGACTTTTTAAATTATTTTTGTGATATAAAAACGAATAAAAAAGTTGAGTGGAAATAAAAAACAATGAGCTACCTTACGTGAACATTATTTTACAAATGGATGATGACATTGCAAAAAGAGACCGCCAAGAATTACCTTTTTCAGTGAATTGGTGGACGGTACAGACTTTTACATGTTTGAAGATTTATAACAGCGGCCTGCTTTGTCAACAATTTAAATATTCCAGACAGGAAATTAAACTTACGGAGTTGTTTTCAGTTGAAGATTACATATATAACATGCTTACCTCCATGATCATTGACTTTTGCTAGCATTAAAATAATTTGATTCATCGAACCTAGACACGTTTGACTTTGTGAAAGATATTTTTAAAAAAATGTCATAAAGATTCGCCGAATTTTTTTTAAAATTATTACCGACATGGAATTAGAAACATTCGGCGCTTTTAGTTGGATGCTATATATACAAGGGGCCTATCTGCATTTGGATAGGCCCTGCAGAGCATTTCCTTTTGGATTCAGCTGATTGATGTATGTTTCATTTTCATGAATTGTCCGGATTCTATTGCCATTCAATTCCTTCATCTCGTCTTCTTCTCAGATTCTTTTGTGTAGGCTAGAATTTCTATGTTCTAGTTGTCTTATGTCGAATGGATCCAGGGTATCAGCACAGCAACGATGCCATTGGTTTCAATCACTCTGGCATAAATTTCATCTTGATCTGTAGCCCGGATTTCCCTGTCAATCACTTCCCTCGTCTTGTCATGTCATCAGACTGTTTTGGTCCTGCTTGCCATCTTTGTTATTCTTGTGTCTTATGCGAACCTGAATCATAAAAACAGAAATTACTGATTAATTATCTACTTTCAGGAAAATTACCATGCCAGAACACCAAAATAATCTCTAGTTGCTATGATCATTCAGAGTCATCTCCACGATGGACAGTACTTTGTTTACCTGAATCTCCGTTAATTGTGAGAATTGCTTTTCAACAGGTCTATGTTGTTCTAGCGACCGTGGTTAAACTAATTTACTAACGACGATCGAAGATGGGTCGCTCAGTTTCTGATGTGGGCGAGCCAAAAGAATCAGATATAGTCAGTCATACATCCTCACATCGTCAGAGGGATAATGTGAAGGCAGTTCACAAGGTGGGTCTCCCCACCCGCAAGAAGCTTGGTACCGAGTTCAAAGAGACCGTGAAGGAGACTTTCTTCCACGATGACCCGCTGCGCCCTTTCAAAGGTCAATCCAAAGGGAAGAAGGTGCTCTTGGGTTTGCGGGCAGTCTTCCCCATCCTTGAGTGGGGGAGGCGCTATAATTTCAGCAAGTTCAGGGGGGATCTTATCGCTGGACTTACCATTGCTAGTCTGTGCATTCCCCAGGTAACAAATCTAGATGAGATACAGTCCCCACATCGTTGTCAGCGCCAAATATTTTTTTTTGACAACGCATTTTCACGGTATCTGTTGTAGGATATTGGATATGCGAAGCTAGCTAACCTAGAACCACAGTATGGGCTCTGTGAGATTCTAATGCACCCTAAGTCAAAATATTCAACCTAACATCACATATTTTCTTCAACTTAACGACTTTTCCTCTCACATTTTTCAGACACGAGCTTTGTTCCCCCGCTAATCTATGCAGCCATGGGAAGTTCAAGCGAGATCGCTATTGGACCTGTGGCTGTGGTATCGCTTTTGTTGGGTACTCTTCTCCGGGACGAGATTGATCCAGACAAACATCCAACGGAGTACAGGAGGCTGGCATTCACAGCAACATTTTTTGCCGGTGTCGTTCAAGCCGGTTTGGGGCTCTTCAGGTAACTTTATATCAAATTTAGCAAGTCATCAGTGGTATTAATCCTTTTAAGCTTTACTGTCTATATATAATTAATATTTCATGCCATTGTAAACTAAATATTATTGTCTAACAGCTTTGGAATACCATGCTTCTTTAGTGGGTAGTTCCATATATTTATGATAATCTTATGCATTTTATTGTTGCCATATTTCAGATTGGGCTTCGTGATCGAGTTCTTATCCCATGCTGCTATTGTGGGGTTTATGGCAGGAGCAGCTGTAACCATTGCCCTCCAACAGCTTAAGGGCCTTCTTGGCATAGGGAAATTTACGAAGAAGACCGATATCATTCGAGTTATGCAGTCTGTTTGGGGCGCAGTCCACCATGGGGTGGGAAATAATCCAGTCTCTCTCCAGTCTTGACTAATCATATATCCCTGTTTCTCACCAAGTGTTAGATTCTTTTCAGTGGAACTGGCAGACGATACTCATTGGTCTCTCATGCTTGGCTTTCCTTCTTGTGGCAAAATATATCGTAAGAATCCAAATCTTTTACCTACATCCCTTAAGTTAACTCATGAAAAAATCTAATCGTGTCCCCTATCTACTCAATCAGGGAAAGAGGAATAAGAGACTCTTCTGGGTGCCAGCAATCGCCCCATTGCTCACCGTGATTTTATCAACGTTCTTCGTTTATATTACACGTGCCGACAAGAAGGGCGTAGCTATTGTAATTATTGACCTCTGAATCGACACTAGAAAGCTCTCCATTTGTCTTCATCGAACTTTTAGCCGATGCTAAAACCCACGTTTACAAATGACAGGTGAATCATATCAGGAAAGGCGTCAATCCATCATCTGCTGATAAAATTTACTGGACCGGCTCGTACACCCAGACAGGCTTCAAGATCGGCCTTGTAGCCGGCTTGGTGGCTCTGACGGTCCGTCAATAACATTTATTACCCTTCTACTTGCCACGTCCTAGGTATTTACGCTTAATTCAAACCTTACCAGTAGAGGTATTGCAGGAAGCTGTTGCCATTGGGAGAACGTTTGCCGCCATGAGGGACTATCATTTGGATGGAAACAAGGAGATGGTAGCCCTAGGAACTATGAACATTATTGGTTCATTGACTTCATGTTACATTGCTACGGGTAAGAAGACATATTTCCATTCGATGAATTGACGTCAAGTTGCTTCACCGTCAGATTTTTATTAAAATTTGACGTCTTTCCTTCCCAGGATCCTTCTCTAGATCAGCTGTGAACTTCATGACTGGTTGCCGAACAGCCGTCTCCAATATTATTATGTCCTTGGTTGTGGTCCTCACATTGGAAGTGATCACACCCCTCTTCAAGTACACCCCAAATGCTGTTCTTGCAGCTATTATAATAAATGCGGTGCTTGGGCTGATAGACTTTGAAGCTGTAGTAAAGCTTTGGAAGGTTGATACGTTCGATTTCCTCGCTTGCATGGGAGCATTCTTTGGAGTCATTTTTGTGTCCGTTGAAATTGGGCTCCTAATCGCCGTGAGTAAATTTCATCGTTTAACTTTTATAAGACTTTAAAAGAAATGGATGTAATGGGTACATGAAAATGCATTTTTTTGGTTTTCTTCTTCATAGGTGGCCATATCATTTGCGAAGATTCTCCTCCAAGTGACGAGACCAAGGACTGCCTTACTTGGGAATCTTCCTGGAACTAACATATACAGGAATGTTGAGCAATACCCTGAGGCGACAAAGGTTCCTGGAGTTATGGTTGTGAGAGTTGACTCAGCAATTTATTTTTCCAATTCAAATTACGTGAAAGACAGGTATAAATTCCTTATGAGCGTTGATTAAGTAGATCAGACATTTTTTTAAAAGAATAATTCACCAGATTCAAAGGTAGAAATTATGTTTAAATAATTTTCTAGGTAAAAATCTTTCTCAAAGGAGATGTCTTTTTAATGTTTCGTGGTAGAAAGTATCCAAATCTAGTATTATAAAAACATCTTGTGTCTTCACGTCTTCGGCTAGTTTCAGATACTGAACCCCATAATTACTGATGTCTCTCTGACGAAAGGCTTTCATGGAACTGGCATGATTGGCAGCACATTATGTCACGTTGAAGCTGCCATAGTGCTAACATTCACATGATATTTTGCAGGATACTGAGGTGGCTGATTGATGAGCAAGAGAAGTTAGAGGAAAATAAGCTTCCAAAAATAAACTTTGTGATCGTGGAAATGTCTCGTGAGTAATCACCACTCTTTTCCTATATCCTAAATACGTAGATGACCGATCGAGTGACGGTAACAGGCGCAATGATTATTTGAATCTGTAACTATTTGTTGTCATTTGATTTTGAGTCGAATGACCGAGTGCTTCAAACTAGAATCAAGTTAATATAACCACCTGACCCGTCAAGTTTTCTGTCTTCTAACAGCGGTCATCAACATAGACACCAGTGGTATTCACGCCTTGGAAGATCTATACAAGAGTCTACAAAAGAAGGGTATTCAGGTAATCAGTTCGTAATTAACGGATCGCAGCACTTACATCGATATTTAGAGATTAATCTATCTTTTCGGGCACTAAGTACCTGATAACCTAAAACTACGATGAAAGATTCGTCATTGAGAATGTGTCCAAGATGTTATTATGATCTTGTTTAAATCAGATGATATCTAAGAGGAGTTTTCGAGTTACCAGTTACAAGATCGAGCATATTCTCGTGCAGCTGGCTCTTGCGAACCCAGGGGAGCAAGTGGTCGCGAAACTCCATGCAGCCGACTTCATAGAGCGCATAGGTCAGGACAAGATCTTCCTCACTGTTAAGGATGCCGTCGCCGCGTTCGGGGGAAAACCGGTACCATCTGTATGAAAACCGGCGCGGAGAAGGAGAGAAACAGAGAAGCTGGTGATGCTTCATCCTATATGTCAGAGTGACCTTGTTTATTTCCTTGCTGCCACCCTGTTCTCCCTCTTTATCTCTATACTGGGATTATCGTATCCTTGGATGGGTGTGTTTTCAAATTTCGTCATTTTCATGTCGATCTGTCCCTCATCTCTCTCTCTGGGATCACCTCGTGGAAACTTTTGATATTTTGAAATGAACGAACATTATCTTATATTTCTGTGCTATATTGCTCCTTCCTTTCTCCGTTTCTCTCTCTCTCTCTGTCTTCCTCCCTCGCTTTCTCTCTTAATGACGGGGATACGACACCAAAGGTGGGATCGATGTTATAAAATATACGATCATCATTGTTCTCTGCTACCCTCAAGTAGTAAAAACTCCTGCCTCATGAGACCCATTTTCATGAGGATTAACCTCGGACGAGGTCCTGGGTACACAAGGTCACCATGTCTCAGCACTCATTTCCTCCCTGCGTCATATCTGAGACTCAGACGACGCCATTGTTCACAAGAGCAATGTTTGCTAAAGCAAGAGGTCACCATGTCCCCTCCTACTTTCCGACGCTGCAAAGAGCAATGCTTGCCGAGGAGACTCGGTCGCGAAGAAATAACAAAGTAAGCATAAAAACCTGTTTCCTATCCTCCGAGTCCCTTCTTGTGATGTGGGGCGAGACATCAACAGTTGATACAAGCAAAACTTAGTATCATGCCATTGCATGTTTGAAAAATTCAACTTGATTTTCAATGAGAAGTCCATACGCTTTCCTGATTCTGCCAAATAGGAATACGTGGCCAATAGCAATATTGGAAAGATGAGATCAACTCAAACTCATACAAGAATTAACCATATTCATTGAAAATCGTAAAAATTGTCAACAAGAAAATTACATAAAATCATGTCTCACACGATTCGAATCAAGTTTAACAATAGGGTCATGTTAAACTTGGTCAAATTTGACCATTTCCTGCGAAGTGCCATCATGGGAGCAAATAGAGTAGAAGGCGCACAAATCGGCATTGCCATTTTTACTCTTCTTCCTTCTTGATCCTGTTCTGCATTTTACTTTCATTGTTTATTCTCTAGTTTTGTTATAAACTCTCTCCCATTGAGAGGTTTATTTTAGTTGAACATTTTTTTCTTTGGAGCCCTTTGTCTTTGTTTGCATACTTCTATCAACCTTTCTACCGTCATTTGGCTTTTATAACAAATTGGTATCAGAGCTACTTCGCAAAATGTTTAATGGTGTCGACGAAGGTGGAACTTCATCAGCTCGATAAGAAGACAAACTTCACGCTATGGTAAGTCAAGATGAAGGTAGTTCTTACACAACTAGATCTAGAGGATGCTCTTTTTCCAATGATGCCTACTTCATGAATTGAGGATCAGAAGAAAATGGTAAATTGAAAAGCTCTAACTCAAATACAACTTCATCTCTCAAATGACATCCTTCGGGACATTCAAAAGGGGACAGAAGCTCATAAGTTATGGTCAAGGCTTGAGAAGATATGTATGGCTAATACCGTCACCCGAAAGAATCTCGCCAAGCAACAACTATTCGGTCTACGGATGATGGAAGATATTTCTTTGGAATCTCATTTAGCTGCTTTTAAAGATATTATGGCAGAACTTGAAGCTCTTGATGCAAATACGTTAATTGAAGAGGATCTTTGCTCCCTACTTCTTATGAATTTCCTCTTGCATTGTAGATATCCACTTAGATGAGGCATTAGAGCAAATTTCTTCTTCAAAAGAGGTTGGTTCATCTAAACTATCAATTTCTTTAGCAACAGTCAGTGCATATGCCACTTAGTCTGCATGTGAATACCTGAACGGAGGTTGAATCTCTCTTCAAGATTAATTCATGGCAATAGAATAAGTTTGTTGTTGCATTCCAACACCTTGAGTAGGAGGAGGAGGTGAGACAATAGTCGGAGCACATTATTCTATCTGGTGAGGTACCCTTGAGGATGAATTTGAAGTTTCAATGTCAACTTTTTGATTCACCGTGGATTGTTGTGGAGCATCTGTTTCTTGACTCATAGTGGGCGGTTTCATAGTCGTTGTCTCATCGAAGACGGCATCTCTACTATATATAATCTTTTGATCCTCAGGGTGGTATAATTTATATCCTTTTACTCCTCCTTTAAAACCAAGAAAAATACATTTGATAAAATGAGGCTTAAGCTTACCAATATTTATGGGAGTATAGGCAGGACAACCAAAGATTATGAGAGTAGAATAATCACCAAGAGAGCTAGACCAAACTTTTTGAGCAGTCTTTTTCCCGATGACAAGAGAAGGAGATCTATTAATGGGGGACACTATCATATTTGCTGCCTCAGCCCAGATTTGTTTTGATAAAGAAGGATTTGATAACAGACATCGAAGTTTCTCAAGAATTGTTCGATTCATTCGTTCTACTACATCATTCTACTACGGTGTATGCCAGACTATAAGATGTCTTAAGATGTCTTCAGATTTGCAGAAATCTTGAAATTGATTTGAGCAATATTCCATCCCATTATCAGTTCATAGAATTTTAGTAGACTAATCAGTTTGCTTCTCTATCATTCTTTTCCATTCTTTAAAACGTTGGAGTGCCTCAAATTTATTCTTCAAAAAATAAACACATACCTTTCTCAAGTAGTCATCAATGAAAGTCAATATATATGAGGCTCCTCCATGTGACGAGACACTTGATGGCCCCCAAATGTCTGAATGCACATAGTCCAAAATTTTAGTAGATTTGTGCTGGCCTATTGGAAAATTGAAACGAACTTGTTTTCCATACAAGCAATGTTCATAGAATTCTAAATTGTTTGATTTCATTCTCATCAAGTAGTCCACATTTACATAATTCAGCCATTCCTTGCTTGTCCATGTGTCCTAGCCGCATATGTCATAATTTAGTAGTATCTTCTATAGAATGTGATGAGTTAGCTAGAGCCACATCACCTGTAATAGTATAGCCTTCAAGAACATATAAATTTACCATCTTTTGATGACCTTTTAATATAACCAAAGAGTCTTTGCAAACTTTAAGAATACCTCATTCTTTGATAAATTTGTATCCCTCAGAATCCAATGTGTTGAGAGATATAAGAGTTCTCTTCAACTTAGGGATGTATGTGACATTACTCAAAGTACGAATTTTGCCATCAAACATTTTTATGAAAACATTTCTAATACCCTCAACTTTGCATGAGTTATTTCCTATCAACATGACACTAACGGCAGATGAAACAAGTGAAGTAAATGTCTCTTGATTGAAGCATATGTGAAAGGTACAAGCAGAATTCAAAACACATTTTCTTGATTCATTTGATTCATATTCTGCCACGGCAAGAATTTTGGCAGAATCAAGAGATGGGGTTATATTTGCAGTAGGTTGATCAAACGAGGAAGGCTGTTTTGCCTTAGAGGTTTCTCTATTTATCTTGTTTTGAAGCTTGTAACATTCTGTTTTAATGTGACCCTTCTTCTTGCAATAATTGCAGGTTTTGTCAAGATGTTGTGACTTAGATTGACCTCTTGAAGTATTTTTCTTTCTCTCAACCCCTCGAATGACAAGGCCTTCAACTTGAGACGACATAGTCATCTTTGAGAACTTGCTTATGCTTTCCTTGGATGAGAGATCTTCATAAATAGTCTCAAGGGATAGACTTTTAGACCCATAAAATAGAATATCCCGAAAGCCTGAAAAAGATGATGACAATCATTGAGGAGAAATTCTACTTGAGAATGGGTAGAACTTCCAAAGAACAAGAATCCTATTCATTGTAAATGGGTTTATAAGCACAATGAGGACATTCTTGGAGTTGAAGAACCTAGGTACAAAGTTAGGCTAGTGGCAAAAGGCTTTAGTCAAGTTCCTATGGTAGACTATAATGAGATATTTTCTCCTATGGTCAAATATTCTTCAATTCGTGCCATCCTTAGCTTAACTGCTCATAATGATTATGAGTTTGAACAAATAGATGTCAAGACAACTTTTCTCTATAGAGAACTTGAAGAGGAGATTTAGATGCTTCAACTAAAGGCCTATGTTGACACCAAACATGATAAATTGGTCTGCAAGCTAAACCAACCTCTCTACGATCTGAAGCAATCACCTAGACAATGGTATAAAAGGTTTAATTCCTTTATATCCACTTTGAACTACAGTCAAAACCACTATGATTGTTGTGTTTACTTTAAGAAATCCTAGAGATCTTTCATCTATCTCTTTTTATATATCGATGATATTTTGATAGCTACTAATGACATATAAGACATTCAGAATATTAAACATCAGCTTAACCAAGAGTTTGAAATAAAAGACCTAGGAGCAGCAGCAAGAATCTTGAGAATGAAGGTAAAAAGGGATCGAGTTATAGGAACTATATCCTTAAGTCAAAGAGGATATATTGAGAAAATATTATGTCATTTTAATATGGAGAAAGCAAAATTGGTAAGAACTCCTCTTGCTTAACACTTTAAACTTTCAGATTTACTCTCTCCAAAAACAAAAGAATAAATCAGATATATATTTAAAATTCTGTACTCTACGGTTGGTTCCCTGATGTATGCAATGATCTGCACTTGACCTGATGTCTCATAGGCTGTAAGTCTAATGAGTTGTTATATGACAAATCTTGGAAAATATCATTGGAAAGCTATCCAATAGATCTTTAGATTCTTATGAGGAACCACAAATACATGTCTTCATTTTGGAAAATCTTCTGGAAAGATTATTGGCTATGTGGATTCTAACTTTGCTAGAGATCTTGATAAAAGGAAGTCTCTTACTGGTTACTTGTTTACGTTTGGTGGGACTGCTATATTGTGGAAAGCATTGCTTCAACCTAGTACAACACTTTCGACCACTGAAGTTGAATACATGACTATTATAGAGGCAATAAAAGAAGACATTTGGTTGAAGGGTTTCTTCAGTGAGTTATATGATGATGAGCAAGTAATGAATCTAT